TTAAATGCATCAAGTTATCACCACAATACACATCATTGTTTGCAATTTCTAACTGCCTGAACAAGCCGTGTTTCCCTTTCGTGCCTCCAGAGCTAGTGTAATGATCGTATATGTAATCGAGCTAAGATGCTAACACAAGAGCTTTAGGCTGCGTTTTTCTTTCCGCTGAACCGATTTTACCGTTCGACTCTATATTCCGTAACAGACAGACATTAAAACTCTTCAAATTGCAGTCGGACGTAGTTTTGTTATTAGTTATTACTACTAACGAAAGCTTACTATATATATATATATATATATGTATAGTAAGCTTTCTATAAGCTATATATATATTGACTCCTAAATTGGAATTTATTTTTACACATTATTTAGGGGACTAGATAAAGATTTCAATACTTTTTTTTACATGCTCTGGAAGTATAATTCAATACAATAACTATTCAGTGCATCATAGCATTAATTCAATACCTAAACAGGCAATTCATCACGAAATGCTTTTTCCTCAATCCACGAGTAACTTTTTTTTTTATTAACCGCCGTCTACTATAGGCTTAAATTCACTTAAGTATGTTTCAAATATGGTACGTACATAAGTTTTGGGTTAAGGAAAAGCCAAGGGTCCCATAAATGCAAGAACTTAAAACAGCAAAAAAGTCCGAAAGGTGGAAAATATCTCAACGATTGACCGCAGCAGCTTACCTGGATGCTCCAACTGATATTAGCCTCATTGGAAAAGCGGTTCATTTTTAAATAAAAAATACAGCTGTATCAAAAATGTGCCTTGGAGCTATTGCTGCGAGCTTTTCCTCAAAAATTCCTTTGGAACTTAATTGAGGACCTTTTAGTTTGTCTTATGAAATCTTCTCAGATTTTTCAGAAGCCGCATGGAAACCGGCAATAACGTAGGCCGTCAATTTAGATGAGGAGTTTTTTCATCTTCATGGGAGATTTGTCCAACGCCAAGACATAATTTCTTTCAATTTTTAAAATTCTTTAAATTCTTAAAATTCGAATGGAAAATAAGTTTTTTTTTCATTCGAATTTTAAAAACGACGCATGACGAGTTTCTTCTAGAAAGGACGGGTCTTATTTTAGCACTAAAAGGGATGAATGAACGCATGCCCGTTACGGCAAGCGGGTTATGAAAGTTTGTTTCGATTTAGGTGCCGTATTCTATCCTTTATCGTCATCTCTAACAGATGATGTCTGGTAAGGAAGTGCTTTTTGTGAGACGGGAATACTTCCAAATCAAATATATACATATATACGTTATCATTAAGGTTTCCGCAAAAAGGGCCTAAACCAGTCGTATTCGTTTTAAAACCTTTCCATTTCCCCGACAGTCGTAAAACATGTTTTATGTAGTTCGCATCATAAGCACATATTTTCAAAAATGTAAAAGTTTATAATTACATAGAGGCTTTAGTTCAAAATTTTAGAACTTTTCCTACAAAAGGCCTTATGTTTTTAAATAACAGAAAAAGATGCCTCGATTTTTCATTCTTTATACAAGTGTTGATCTCGTCGATTTTGGCGACGGTGGCCACGGGGGCTTCCGCAAGGCAACCCGTCATATGTGCTCTCTCCCTCTGCCTCTCTCCCTCCCCCCCCCTCCACCCCCTCTCTCTCTCACTCTCTCTCTCTTCCCTTTCTCTCCGTTTTTAGATCGTTCCCTTCTGATACGCAATAACGATTTTAGCCGTATCTGTGCCAGTTAGAACCCGATTGTGTATTCGGCCCTGTAGCTCAACGAAGGTAAATTTGCGCAAGAAGAGCAAGCTGTGTTTCCGTAGTTGTTTTTCAGATGCTGTCGCTTCGTCAACAGCGGTGCTGGTGGTGAGATCATGCCTATGATTGCAAATATAAACAACGACGATGACGATCATGGCGACCTCTATTGATGGCGTTGCCACAAACGCACTTAGCCGCTGCTACTGGCTGTTGCTTGTTGGGTTTGTAAGTAGCATTGATGCAATGTCCACTGTGTACAACCACAGCAGTAGACTTCGGTTTCTGTTATTGGTAGGTGTGATCACCAGACCGAATCAACAGATACTCCCACCGCTCTCCTAATATTAACAAGGGCAAAAGGGGCAACATGAGCAAAAACAATATTGAAAACAACAACGACACCAATCTGTTAGCCAATGACTATTAGATTTCTACAGAGTCACACAGGCTCAGCAACGTAGTATGTTGCAGCAGCAGAAGCTACCATCTTGTACTATCCGCGGTGTCGTTTATAGTACCTAAATGACTCAATTCAGACGTCAGATAGGGCAACAGCAGTCAGTAAGGGAACACGATTGATGATTTTATTGATCACATCCGCATTCTATCTCATTAATTAAATTCGCGTATTATATCGGATGCAGTTCTGGACATGCTTAAGGGCAAAAGAAAAATTTTCATCTAACACCTGGAGAAGATTAGGCTAATAGAAGACACCGAGCAAAAGCATAGCATATTTAACAATTACCGTTGGATTCAATATACAATAAAAATATAAAGAAATACAATCGTAATCTACTACAGTGGATTCTTGATATCTAATTGAATTGAAGCAAATCTGACGCCGTTTGATCAAACTTTGCCAAGGAATTAAAACGTAAAGTCAACTACAGCCGCCGTATGATCGTCATTAAAGAATATTCCGCTAGTTAATACTATAGCGAATCAATGTGAGCATCTTAAAAATATAGTTGACATTACGTAGTGTTTCTAGTTAGTGCTGAATACGAAACATTGCGTTTACGTTATTATGCACTTAGGTGCTACTATCACTCTATCTTAGGGTCTTAATCTACGTGCACTAATCGTACAATGCCAGCGACGGCATTTTCTGGTAACTTGACGACAAGCAAAGAGGATGATCGAGAGGGAAAACCTGAAATTTGTTTAATTGTTGTTCATATTAGTCATCCGCCATATTTGAACAACGGAAAAATGAATACACGCGGCCGCGTTAATCATCAGCTTCAGTGGGACCGTACAATAATAGTAATTAATCATAATCATTACCAATGTATTTATTCACTATATAGTTCGCCAGCTACATTTTCATATTAAAATATACTATTATTGGCGGAAGTACTTTTGCGTGTCCTAACAAACCTTTTATTCACTTGAATTATACTGCGATTTCAACATTTCATGGTTAAATCTGGACATTCATTGAGTTATGTCTCGGCGGTAAATCATAATATACTCTATATATAAGTTAAAAATGCAATATAAAAATACTGTAGCATTTTTCAATGATTATGCAACCGGGAAAACAATGCAACTCTCGGGGGCAGCCTTGTTCCCTGTACATCCATTTATCCTTTTATTCGTTCCTAAAAACTTCGTGAAGTTCAGCTTTATCGGAACTTAGAGGAAAACCTTATCAGGAAATTAGATACTTGTTGTGTGGATGACGATGCTGGTGTCAGCGATTAGGCCGTTTTCAAATTAACTAGCCTTTATTTTCCGTGTGAAGAGAAATAACATCGGGTGGCGTGGTCTGATTTCAGAATACAAAATTAAGGAAGGAAGTAGGTCAAGTTTACGGGTGTGAGCAGATCATATTAGAGCTAGCAAGACGCGCTGCGCTGTTGTAAGCGTTCCGCTTGTGTGTGCGTGCGAGCGTTATAGCATGCCTTGAGCAAAGGCATGTTCTAAATCAGGTTGTTAGTCTATACATAAGACAAATACACCGACAATACTGTACATACACAGTTTGCATCTGTATACAATACTTTGTCATTATATTTGAAACATACGAACTGCTAGAAGAAATATTACGTAAAAGTTTCAGTTTTTTCGAACAGCATCGAAGTGACGCTACCGCTCCTTTTTATATGGGTCTGCCCACATCGAGTTACAATGTACCGAATGATAGCTTTAAAATTTAAAGACTGGAACGTGGCAGCATTGTTCTAGAATTCGATTCTTGGGTGATGTACCTAGTTCTTTATTTCATCTTTAAGTCGTCATTACGTTGAAACGCCGATAACCTTCAGATACAGCTGCCCAGCTATCGCTACCATTGCCTCGTTTAGGATCGAGTCGCTGATTATAGCCGCAGCCTCTCCTGTAAGTGTTTGGTGCAGCCGTTTTTGCCAAACTACTTGGCTCTAACAAAATATTCCACCTCATCCGCTCTTTATTGATCCCTAATATATTCTTCCATGGAAAATACTCACAAGCTATTAGTTCTTACCGTTTACTATTACTGGGACGCCTGTGGCACCTTTTAAGAATTTGAGATGTATACTACTATAGACTGATACTTACCCAGTAGCAGTTGCACATGTAGCCATGCGTGCTATAATAATAATGGTAAATACATAGTCAGTAGCACAGGAGAGTCAGTAGCTCGCTCCCTGCTGTTCACGAGCAGGCGTGAGGGCGGGACGGAGGGGGTATGCTGACGAAATTTCAGAGTGAGAGCGAACTCAACGTAAACGAGGAGCGTGCTCCGCAAGCAATGACGTCAAGATGTGACGAATTGAGAAGTCGAAGAAGAACGAGCCGCTGTATCGGACGTAAAAACTTGGAAACACTTACATTTTGTAATGTGATGGCTGAGAACTGGCGAAGCATTAAGGCCATTTGACAACCATATCACAGAAACAGTTAGCCGGCGCATGTAGGATGCCGCCGCCGGATTCGGATATTCGATGACAGCAGGAGGACTAGCGCGTATTTTCGATTATGAGGTTGAAAGATCTGCAGAAGCTTAACTGTGAAATAACTAGAAAGCCTAGGTCCTTTAATTCTTCCCACCTATGTGTTTAGATGTATGTCTGCATAGCCTTTCTCCCTTCCCTTGCGAAGTATGCATTGCAGTATGTCATGAGAGATGGGGCATACTTGCGTGACAAAGACGGACAACACGAACTGCGTATTTGCGTATGTGTGTCTGTTCTTATTGTTGAAAGACAACGTTATAAGCATGTTGGAATAGGAAAGGGCCCAGGAGCAAACTCCGGAAACTCCCCACTGGTGGAGAGGGCATCGGGGCTGCGTTTTTATTGAAAACACACGAAGGCCTTTCGAAGCGTCTCGTGTGTATCATTTTACGTCATTGCATATGCTATACTCTTTTAAGAAGGGGATAAGCAGATTTGACGATGCGGATCCATGAGAATCATGATAGGTTTGTTGGTTGTTAGATTTGGACAGGGGCAGTCTTTGCAGAGCCTGTTATACAGATCAAGGTTCAATTACTTGTGGTGGTTAAGATTCAAAGGTAAAAAGCAAAGAGAGCCAGGATTCATAGCACTATGTACTGAAACAACAGTCGTGCACGCCAAAACTCTGTTGCATAACGTTATGTTAAAAAGTGACTAAGCCTTAGTTCAAAAGAGGATTAACTGGCGACATGATGGGGACCGGTCGACGTAGTAAGTTTAAAAGCAACAGTTTTATTAATTAACATTTAAACGATGAAATTCTATGAAGAAGTGGTAAATATAGTACGACGTGACTAAAACCAGAATCGTTTAGTTGTTATATTCCATTACCTTAGTAGCAACATAGTCTGTGTATGGTTTATGGTGTTATATTTTCCAATTTCCACTATAAATTTCTACTTAAAACCCAGTAAACTAGTTCCCAAGAGCTGTCACCTAATGCCGACACAAATAAAGCGTATAGTGCTTTATTTTAAAGTATGCAGTTGCAATACTTGTACGTTTCGTAGCGTTTATTTTTCAACGAACTACGAGTCGGAAGCCGTATGCTTCATGAATAATCGCGAGTAAAAGATTGTCATAAGAATTAGACATTACATTATGTATCCACTACTGTTAAATTAGAACGACCTTGAGACAGAAAAAAGGGTCCCTAGGGGTTATACTAAGTGCTTCGTCTGTATTGTCGTTTGATCTACGGTCTAGTCTAGTCTGATCATCTGACATTATTAATCTAGAGAGAATTAGGTCATTATGCCAGCCAGCAAAAGACCGTCCCCACCATTGGGAATTACTTCTCAGTTATCTGTTGAAACATTTGTCCCTTACTCTGATCTACCCCATTATTTTTTCTGTTGTGATACTTTTAACATGCTGGTGTAGTGCGCACAGCCTTTTTGCCAAGGAGAGAGAGAGTCGTTCAACTTCTATGAGCCGTAGTGCCATACTGGCCATATTAGACACTACCCGGCGTACCTTCGCACAGTAATATTCATCTGCATAGGATGCGAGTAGGTGTATATACAGCATATGTGTATGTTTCAGAAAGTAAGAACTTCCTCGATCCTGTTGCTCCACTACAAAAAATATGAAGTATGAGCGTCGTAGTTTTCGCATCTATGGATGATTTTTTCGCTTTTAATAGAATGATGATAGAAAGGAAACCGTGGGTGAAGAAACCGACATTAAGGCGAAGTTGTGGGAAAAGAGCATACGCGAGCAACATTGGGGCATGGGCATTAAATAGGTTGAATTTTCGTGGTCAGGAGTGTATGCAGGAGCTAAAGTAAAGATGGGCAAGAGCACAACTTCAAAATTGTTTGCCGATGCCATTTTGTCATGGACTGATTGAACTGTCCGACCCAATTTGGAGCTAGTAAAACCATGCAGCGGATGAACGGATGGATGCACAGTAATCATGATAACGAACTTTGTATATATGGAAGCAGATGCATACGAACGTATACATGAAGTGTGCTAGGCTTCGTGGACGATAAAGCCAACGAAAAAGGGTAAACTTTTTCTACATAAATTCTATATAAAAAAAAAAGCATAAAACGTACTACGTCTGTAGCAAGTTTATAGAAGCACCGATAGGTTTGTGCTTACTTTACATCCACTACATTAACGAACGCCGCTAGACGTATGTCACTCGAAGCGTAGAGCGTAAATTCGCGAACACGTTTGCTTTATCGTTTCGAATACTGTTACTAATTTTCTACACTTTATGCGTTTATTTTTTCTTGAGAAAAACCTATAGTAGTATGTGTGTGTGTGTGGTTGTTTCTATACTATAAAAGAGATGGGAAATATTTTCTATCGGCTATTTAGATTGTTGAACAAATAAAAAAAAGAAATTTCGTATGTATTTTACAATATGGTACGTGGTGCGGTGGATCTCGACGTTTTCTCCTGTATTTTCATTGATACAAAAAATATCGTATGCGCTATAACAACAGATGCTTGACAGCGTCTTTCTGTGTCATCAGTAGGGGTTGTTTGTGTAACGATGTATTAAGTCATTAGATGAGCAACACCGACGAGTCTAAACGAATTCTTAGGTGAAATACCAATAGCATTTCATACTTTTTTCCGAAACTTTTACAGGTCGCAATAAAGGTGGCGGCGGAGGTAGTCAGTACGAGTCGTCGGATGAGGACTCCCTTGAAACGTGCTCCGTCTTTTCAGGCGAATCTCGCGCGGGAAACAATCGCGCTTCCCAACAGAATACAGGTGAGCAATACAATAAAGCGTCCATTTCCAAATTAGTAAATCAAAATGAATCTTCACTACACAGAGCAAACCGTTCGGATAAGAAGAACGTGGCTCAAAGCAAGTTGGACCAGACCTATTGTCGCGTACAGTCTGGCTTTGTTAAGGTTGTGCAGCGACCCTCAGGATCGCCACGAACTTGGTGTGATTCGGATTGACGGTCCGCAGTGAAAAAGCCGAAATAAGAAAAGATACATACACAAGACTAAAGCTTTAAAATGTGAGGGCTATTATACAATGTATGTAATGCATACTAGCTAAAAGTCATCAGATATTTGTGTACATTCCTTAGTGTCCCAAAAAGCCTAAAACTGACCTAGAACAGTTTTTTTGTTGAACCTCGAGGGTGTAGTAATTTTTCTAGTCATTTATTATAGAACTGACTGCTTGGCTATAACTGGTTATAAGTAATATGGCGACAATCCTAAAAAGCAGCGTTCGATCTATTAAAGATAGAGTTGAGTATCTGGATTTTCTGTTTCTAGATTTTTATTTTACTGTACATGTCAGCTTTGAAACCCGAATGCTTGGACTAGCATTATTCTACAATTGTTTGAGTTTTAAGCCCTGGCAAATGGACCCTTAGCTTTGTGATTGGTTCTAACCGTAAGATAAAGCCAAACCCTGCTACCCTTTTCACTATTAATTAAATCTGTTGTGGTGGAATTCAATTCATTGACTATCCGTAATAGACGACCGGTTATTTAATTGCTTTTCTAATGTCTCCCTTTCAGTGGACGCCTTTCTATGCCAGTCTGCGCCGGTGTAGCTTTTGTCATTTATTTTCGGGTTGCCCTGTTGGCTTTGGGTTGGTTTTCGGGTGGTGCTGCTTAGGCAGAATATTGTTGTTATATGTCTATGAACTTGTATACATATTTGCATACGCAGCTTTATGTTGGTGTTTATAAAATGTCTAGTAAGTTATGTATGTGCATAAATAACATGATATACGGTCGTATACAGGGTACAGCAAAAACAAATAATTTTTATGAACACGCGTTAAATATTCGTCTGTTTTATGTGATTCATAGATGAGGACGGAAGTAATTCAGGAGCCGAGGAAGTTGATCACTTCGAGGACAAACTGAAAGAGGCTATTGACGGCGCTTCAACGGTAAAGACAGGGCCACGTCGAACAACCTACCTACAGGTTCTACGGCAAGCATTAGCTGACCGATTTTGCCCAGAGTTCCTTGCGACTAGACCATGCACAATGGTTGACATCGTTGAAAAGTCCGTGAAAAAAGGTCGACCCGATGAACAGGCAGCAGCTTGTGCCTTGGCCTGCATTCTCGTCTTACAATATGGTCCTGAGCCTGACAGTGTGCACATCTACGATACGCTGAATAAAACTCTCGGACATATGGTGACCAATGCGGGCTTACCGTACGCTACTCGTCAGCAGTGTGCCAATGCGCTCGCAATCACTGCTTACATAGCTGACACTAATCCTCTTAACATCCGCGAGATTATGGACGAACTACGGTCAGTGTTTTCCGGCGCTTATCTTAAAGGCGACGGCATGCCGCCAACGATCACTCCAGAGCAGTCGGCGCTATACCAGACAGCGCTACAGTCATGGGCATTGCTGCTGACAGCATTACCTGCCGATCTCGCCTATAACCACCTTAACAGGTAAGATAACAGAGAAAACATGTTTTTCTCTTTATCATACAATTTTGCTAATATACTATAAATTGTTATGCTACCTTATTGGCTGTATAGCATTGATGATGGTGTGATATGCTAACACAATATTTTCACCTTCTGCTGCTGCTGCTGCCGCCGCCGCGACGTGGGAATACGTGTATGTGTGTGTTCGACATAGACATCTGGCACCGATTTGTGGTGTTCTTGAGAGCAACGATGTCGACCTGTGTATAGCAGCTGGCGAGACAATAGCCTTGATGTTTGAAATCGGGCGCGGGCAGAAGCATATGTTTAAGCCTGAAGATCCTCGATTTCATCTTCAAAACTTGCGTGCAAAGTTGAATGAGCTCAAAACCGGTTCGCAAAAGTCACACACGAAAAAGGATCGAAAAATTCAAAAGTCATCATTTAGAGATATTGAACGAGGAATTACAGATGAAGAGGGTCCTGATTTCACTGTTCACTTTGGAGTAGAAGCCCTCCACATTCGAACATGGGTGGACAAGCGAACGTACGATGCACTTATCGGCGTGCTGGGCCGTGGCATGAATCATCATTTGCAGACGAACGATTGTCTCCGATCTTTATTCAGCTTGGGTGCACCACTAGTACCAGGCAGCAAGGAATCTGAAGGACTGTTTGATAAAGCTTCCAAATTCAAGCGGCATATGGCCAACGTCGCGATGGATCGCCATCGTACGCAAAAGCTGGCGAAACATCGAGATAAACGGTAAGACATTATTCGGTATACAGGCAGTTATGAGCAGACAGCAAAGTACCAGGTCGAAAACCATAACTGTGCCAACGTGTCTTAAATTGTCGTGAAAACTAGATCAATGGGAATGGCATAATAAAAAAACTGCCGCTTCTGCCAGTCATTATTAGGATTAGCAAAAACAAGACTTACACATGTAAGTTTTTCACAGTCTGCAACAATGCCGAACGATATGAATATTTTCATACAGCTTTAGAAAACGTAATATTACGTATTTCGTTATTCAATAAAAGTATATGCTTATTAGATATCAACAATTCGCTGGGGTCCAAGAAAATGAAATTAACAATAACTAATTTCCAACACAATTCGTATGATTTGCAATTGATTGTTTCAGAATGGACGTTTGTAGAAGCGACTAAATCATCCTCTGCATCCGAGCAGGTTAGGAGAAATGGGCATATAGGAAATTATAAAAAAACGTGAACGTAAACAGTCTACGCTGGAGAAGAGAACCCATATGCTCTCTAATGTATACGTGACATAGTAATATGTAAATTATATGTAACCGCTAAATAATAAATATTATATATTATACATGAATAGCTTAGTCGTAAAGATCCTTCAAGTGTGTTGTATTTCATAATAGGTATCTTTTAATAGATAGATAGATTTAAATATGAATTTGGATTGTTTTCGTCTAATTTTTTTTTTAACTATAACAGATTTAGTTAAAGCTCATGAGTAGCTAAAAACATTTTGGGAACGGGTGAGGCGTTCTCTGATAGTTATTGTTGTGGCCTTGTATTACTTCAGAAGCATTAAAAAGGCAAGATAAAAGAGTTGCCAGTTCTCAACCGAACGAGTTATTTGTAGACCGAAAGCGATGTGAATTGCAAAATGGCGGACAAATGCAGTGGCTTGACGGCAAGGTTCACTTCGTATTGAACGAATTAACTGGAGATCACGGATACGAATAGATTATCCTCACAAGAAAAACGGCATTATTACCAAATTAATGTAATACTTCTACTTAATTGATGTAATAGCTTGCAAAAGCTTTACTTCTCGCCAGCGTGGACGGTACATCGATGCCGTATATAACGACAACGGGAAAAGAAAAATGCATTGCATTAACAGCAGACTGAAACTAACATTTCAGAAGGTGGTTTCCAAACGAACTGTCTCCTTGGTGATCTATGAACGAACACCAACCGCAAGTAGCAATGTTATTAATTATTTACGCAACCAGAACTAGAATTAAACCAAATGAAAGATTTCGTAAGTTTCGTCTTTCTGCGGTGTTCGTTCGTCTTTCAGTGTTATCAGTCAGATGAGGATTGCACCAAATTCACCATGTCTTGGGTAATAAAGTCTATATATACCCCTTATGTCAGCCATTTTCGATCGTGATAGCAGAGAATGGTTAACAATTCATTATATACAACTACAGCCATACCTTAATCATACGTTAGCGTACATATATCGCGGTACAATATGGCAGTTTCAGCTTGAAGTGCATTTGTGTGACGTCAAAAAAAAGCAGCGCAGAAGCTGCAAAAGTTTTCTATAATTTTTGCAACTTCTATAACTAACGCTAGTCAGTTTATTTTATGAAGGGAATTATTTCGAAAAGAGAGGTAACAGTAGTCATGATTTACTTTTATTTTGCATATCATTTATTTGTTGATACATACTAGTTAATTTTTTTAGTCAGGCCAATAACTTCACTGACATAATTCGATTGCGACACTTTATCGAATTTTTTACTTGTAAAACATATTGCCTTACGACTAACTGTACATCTTTGTATTCTCAGACCCCGAACCTACTCGAGCTGTAGTTGTACATCTCGTAGATGGTGAGACTAGGATGTACATGTTTGTAAACTAACTATTCACGCGTACATTGTTGCTAATATGTTCAAACTAATGGCAAACATTTTCGAATTTTGAGATTGTTTTTAGTGTGCTAACACTAGCTTGTTTTTCAAAAGGGAACATAAATAAGAAACGAATCTTCAGATAATAATGGCCGTGTTCTACTTGTATAGACGCTTTCCAGTAAAACACAGCCTCGTATGCGTTTCAAATAAAATGGGAAGAGCACCAGATCACGTGACGGTTGTGTGGATATCGACGCCGGTACGTCTGCTGATAATCGCAACATTAGTTAACGGCATTGCACTGGTAAAGACCACTGGTGTTACCATTCGATAGATACGTGCTCTTCGTTTCAACAAACGAATGAATTCTCTTCGTATAGAAAAAATAGTGCTTCCTCATAGCTCATGAAACCAACCAAGAAAAAAGACCATTTCTTTGAGCAATCATTGAACCGATCACAGATCAGTTTAAACCTTTAAACGTAATTAACGTTTTTTTTACAGTAGCGAAATGTTGACTATCTGTTCTCTGGATGCTGGTTTTTAATCCTGTTGCGTTTGCGTATTGCCTTTTTTTGTCATAACCCCCAGCGAGCGCGCCACGCACAGAAGAAAGCAGGAGGGGGCAGAAGAAATATAAAAAGACACATCTAAAATGGGGGCCGGACTCTTCTCTTTTACACATGAGTTCCAAATCTAGCTTCATTCTATTTCTAATTTTCCTGATTTTGCGAACCTTCGTTCGTTTTTTGCCCATGGATCACTTAAGACCGTTATCATCACACACGTGACAGCTGCTTCTTGCCACACCCTTCAGACCCCACCCAGGCTCCACTAACCAACACGTATTTTTTTATGTACCACTGACTTGGTTCGTTCTTATACATTGCCGTAACAAAACCCGACACATTGCGTTCAGCTATCGTGATCATTAGAGACATTATTTTTGTCGCTCATCCTTTACACATAGCCCCATTCGATTCCAACAGCAGACTCATTGCTACCCGTTAACCATTTACTGCGATGCACGCGCATACAGACAGCGGAATTTCTGCGATGTGTTTTCTGCTCGATCGATTTGTCAACGTCTTTTCTTATCTTGCCTCTTAAATATATCGTTTTTTTTTCATAGCAATAGTAATAATTTACATTAATTACTAGCTCGACTGTATGTGCGTGTTTCTGTTTGTTCGCCTAAGATTCGTTCCAGCTTATCCATCCGAATAGCAAATAACACTATTTTTCACGGCTTATCCTACCTAATTTTATTACCCGTTAGCTTCGTACAGAATCGTTCGCTGTTTCTCGCGATGTTGCTGATCACTCTGCTGTACAAATAATCGTCAATTATCCTACGTAAACATACATTCACATATTCAATAAATATTGACGAGATAATCAAGGAAGCTATCTCTTCAATTTGTCTTTACATACTCTGCGGTTCATTTTCATCACCTTTGTACTGCTTCAGCATAATTTTTTTAGGCATCGTCATCACCATCACCGCACTCAGTCATAAACTGGCCTAACAAATAGCTAGTAGTACTAATAGTGCTCTCACCTATCTTCGCCTGCAGCGCCCATGTTTACATGTTTATGTCGTAGCAGACAGCTAATTACCTAATATCATTGTTACCAGTATCATTCTCCATCGTATCATGTAATGCCTTATATGCTATCTTTCATCAGCTATTCAGTGTGTAGTATTATAGTAAATGTTTAAGTATTTCACCGACAAACTGGCCGTAATCATACTTTCGTCGTCTAAAGTCGTCCAGCCAGCGAATCCTTCGCCATTGTTGCTTTATTACTAATAATATATATATATATATATATATATATATAGTCAAGCTGTGGTTTGCGTATTAGTATATAACAGAGGTATTTATGAAACTGTGCCTTAATTCGTCGTCGCGGGCCTTGCTGTTGTTGTATGTGCAGTATCTATTATTCTATTGTTTCATCTGTGGCATCCCTGTTTTACAAGGTTATTCGTTGGCAGAAATACAGACAACATACCATAGATATTACAATTGTTAGTAATAGATAAACGTCATTCGTGTCTTGCTCAGGCCTCGTTTCGAGGATGCTACTGTACACAAGGTCCTAAATACAATTCATTCATAGTTAGGTGGTGCGCATTTACACTAAGCGCTCCTATTCTTATGGTAATATTGTTGTCATTGTTTTTGTTTGTGTATAATGAGCGCGTGCCGAGCGTCTATCTTACTTTCATTATTCAGTCAAAGCCAAAGGCCCGGCCTCTGATCGACGCTTCTGTAGCTATTTTCCTCTTGTTTCAGTAAATACAAAGGAAGACAGAGGACGCGTTCTGTTTTGTTTCCTCTATTAGAAAGAGAAATCGCAAGATAAGGGAAAAGGACAGGGATGTCTCGCGTATTGACTCGCGGATGACCTGACTGACCACACATCTAAAAATTTACCTAAATAATATTGCCCTTATGTTTTTGTTGGGTGTTTTGAACTGAGTGTGGCGCCATAACCATATTGCTTTCGCCGAGTGAATCGAACGAATGAGTTAACATTATTCGACCCTGCCCGTCCTGTCGGTGTGACCTCATCGTATTTTATTTAATAACACAGCATCATAGTAGGGCAGGTCGCAAGCTTCTTTATCTTCCTGTTCTTTATCTGACTAGACTTGCAGTGTTCCTTGGGACCAGTTATTTGCTCAAGTGACTTTACAATTAGCGGCAGTCCGGGGATATTTCTCTTTAGGGGATCAGCATCGGCACTGGTGTTGCTGCATCGCCACTTTTCTCAGCTTCGTCTACGTTGGTACAGTGACACAGTGCTATCTTGGTAAGCCGTTGCTAAACACATCTGTAAATCGATTATAAATATGGGGGCACGACGTAAATACTTTTTCGACAAACGGCAGATCAGAGTCGTGGTTTCGGCAATGTTGCCGATGCATAAAAATAGTGCAAAAGAAAAGTAACCTATTGGACGATGAACCTACTAGCATTATTATTTTTATTGTTTATTATTATTTTTTTTTAATTAGCCTTGGCCACACTGGTTGGAAAATAGGTTCGAACCACTCGCTTTATTTATAACGTTTGCACGATGGAAGAAGCAGCAAAACAAATTATAACGCATTAGTCGTTATAGATTAATTTGTTGCTGTTCAACTTAAGCAAACTCTGAAGTTTTTCAACGATCTCCATACCTTGTACGGATGGAAGGCAATTGCGTTTATGGGTGACGTTTTTTGACCTGAAAACCAATCAGTATGAGGTTTCAAGATGTGCGCCGGTCCACTTTCCTCCTGTACGACAACGTTTGCGGTCTGTGTTCCGCTGCAAGAAGATATATCCGTAATGTTAGACGTACGAGTAAACTGATATATTGTGAGTATAATCTGTACTTCTAATAAGTTTGCTGTGTCCTGTATCATATAGTTGTTTCTTGTCGTTCCGTTTGGCGCCACTGACAATCGTTCTTGTAATTAACGTACCAAGCCAGTATTCCTGGGAAGAACGGATGCACGACCATGCAGGTGAGATCCTGATTTGGAAGAGAACTTTGTCGGCAGCCCTCGGTAGGCTGCGAAGACCCTCCACCTGCGTTGCTTCCTCCTCCGGGCAACTGCCAATATCGAACGTGGCCCGAAACCGAAGCCGAAATGAGGATACGTCTGCTCATGTTCAGGTGCACACCAACCACCTGTCCAAGATGTTCACGCGTACTGAGAACTGGACGGCATATACCACCTGGTGGCTTTCTCCGATCGTACAACTTAACATAACCGTCAATTGTGCCTATAGCCAACAAACTTCCGCCAGCAGTCCGATCAAGTGAGACACACCTAACCGGAGAATCGGCATCAAGCGTGATGTCGAGGAGTCGCCGTTCAGCTGCCATATCCCAAATGCGGACAACCTTTAAATCTCCACAAGTAACGAGCTGATTGCGAGCCTGATCCCAATCGAGGAGAATTCCGGCGCATTTAAGTGTCGTCTGCATTTCGGCAGCATCCAAGGCACAGTTGAATGCCGTTACTAATTCCACCGGTTCGGGACTTTCGGTCGGTGCTGCCAAGAATCCAAGACGCAGATTGTGCGTTTATGTCATTTGCTTTCTTGTATATTCTTCGAATAGTTAAAATTAGAAATTAGTGATAATTAGAGTAACGGCTAATTGTGCATGGGGTATATATTGTATTCTAGTATTATAGGATGTATTGGGCCCATCGCCTATATTCGAAATTCCACTATAGCAATGACGATATTACTAGTATAGGCTGTAGTTCATAAAGCAAAAGTTTCTGTAATTTTTCGTGAGCGTTTGCTTACATTGGTTGTAGTATGCCGAGTAGGTGTTCGCCCAGGCGCGTACAGCTCCGTCGGTGGAAGCTGTAAACAACAAACATCGATCATGGTGAGCATTAACTAGTGTCATTGATGACAGTTTACCTTGTTGAACATTTCGCGCACAGAGAGAACCAAATCCGACTCGCGTCGTTGGATGCTCGAGAACATCGACTTCTGCCATGCGCTCCGTGTTTAGCACTGTGACCTGATGGGTATCAGCGACAAATAGCAACGGTTCAAACGGGTGAAACAATGTAGCAACCGGAGGCGCTCCCGCCTGTGGCTTTCGGGAGAACTGGTGCTCTTCAGCGCGAGCTATAGCTCCCCGCCACGTTTCCGAATGTAAGGTGTGCAATGCATGCCGTCGGACACCAGCATTTCGCATCAAACGGAATTCTCCCGCCGAGTACGCTTGTGAATCTCGATCGCTTTCCGGCGTCGTAGAACAAATTATCGTGGATGGCAAAGCAGTAGACGAGTCAGAAGTTGTCAAAGTTTGCTGTTGCTGCTGAGGATACGAACCGATAACAACAACAAAAATAGAAGACGTCATTCATCTGAATAATGTAACTGGCATTGTGTGGACCGATGAAGACCGTCACCGTGAGAAGTTAAGCTTCTTACGCGGGCCTTTATGTCAAAAAAAAATTCATTAAAGGGCTATCTCTTAGTAACTCTAACCTAACCGTTTCGGCAACCTACCGATGCTGCGATTTCTTGAAGACAGGGTTTCTGGAACTGCTTAGTAAGGGTGTCGAGGAAACTGGTAGTTATAACCGGCGTCGCAACAAGTTGGTAAGACGATTCGGAACATCCGCTAACACCACCGCCGCCGGATAAAGAAGACGCTGGTGATGATCCAGGCCCATTTACCTCGCCATTATTGAGAGTAGTCGATGAAGTAATTGAGCTGTCTGGAGCTCGTGCGTCTGTTCCGCTACCCGAAGCTCCACTGGCTGAACCGGTCAGACGGTCCTCCCGTAATTGAGGAAGCGCCTTGTCAAAGTTCTTTCGTGGTCTACAAACAAAAGGCACGAAAATATAAGCTAAGCAGATGCTGTAGACTATTTGCTACTGCTCTACCTTTTCCTGGGTTCACAATTCTGGGACACCGAGAGTATCGACAATAGGTAGCCCTTTACTACTCACCTTAGAAGCACAGTAGCCCACTATTATTTGTCGGCGGTCGAAAATTTTTATTCGATGTAAAATAGCAGATACAGCTAGGCCGAAATTACACAGATTTGGGATGACATGAGAAAAAACTAAAATATTTTTTTTTATTTCTCCTATAGTACCCAGCGTACGCATGCAAACATTGTCATTTTGTATGTCACTATACGGAAAAGGAAACATAAAATCGTCAAGAAAATAGGGAATTTGCTATGCTTTACAAAATCTTATAGTTGTCAGTGTCATTAGAAGAAATTATGCTCCCAAGCAACGGTGGCTTAGGAACAACCCAGTTCGTTATAAACACATATAGAAGTTTTTGTGCCACTTGTGCTGACCTTCAACAGGCAAAACAATGGCTGCTTCAGATTTTAATAGGCAACCAAGACCTTCAACAGAATCATAATGGATATATATGCATACATCACCCAGAATAAGAACAACTGATATTTCAGCCCATCGCTATTCCAGGACGTATTTCATGTGCAAGGTAACATATTATGTCCCCATTTGAGGAATACTTATCTCACTATTTCAGGTGTCCTATGATGTGAAGAACGCCACATGAACGTAGAAAGGGGCGGTTATCATAGATAGAAATCTCTTGTTTCTAGAAATCTCATACCTTGTAACCCTTTAATGAGCGAATGTTAGACGTTGCCTCCGTAGTAAATTTACAAACAAATACGACGCATAAAGAATAGCTTGCAAGAAGAGAATGGAATCTAGACAAAAGACAAACAGTTATTATTGGCAGATGTAGGTAATGCCCATCCACCTCGTTTGCTCCGTCCCGAAAGACGTGGCCATTATACGTGAAGTCGATCGTAACACACTGAACAAATCATTCGGTTAGACCATTAACTGAACGAAGTAATCACGGAAAGACAAAGTCATCATCATTATATACAATCCATAACACCGCAATAGCAGCACTAGTATGCCACGTTCGGAACACCGTCATGCACCAAATAGTGGTTCGTTAACATCGTATTATAACACCATTATTGGCCCCCCAAATAAACCAGCAAGTCAAACAACAGCAACACGCGTAAAAAATATGCTCCTCTTAATGAGAAGGCCGAACCTACGAGGCGCAGGGCCTCTGCTGACGCGGACCCAATCTCACTCTCCCAATCTCAGTAGTGACGGTTATACATAGCTTATGTAAAGCCCACAGAATAATGGTAGCGAGAGATTTGTATACATACGGTATAGCGAATCTTAAACGTCTTGCAGTCATTCATAACTTACCGCACACAAAGCATCATCAAACAAAAAAGAATAGAACAGACCTATAAAAACGATAATGAATATCGATCACAATGGCTTTAAATGCAAATTATTCAATACACGAAAAAAAACTTGAAGGAGTCAGACAACCTGGTATCAAAAGAAATTAAATGAGAATAAGGTCGAGTAATAACATATTGATAATAGAAGAGGCAAGAAAGTTAATAAATAAAATGTTTTGAACAGAAAAGTTACTACAGATAGCATAGGTAATGGTAATTCAGCGGTACTTTGTATCAGAAAAGGCAATTTTACTATTAGTATGTGAGATTTTTTAAATGTATTTTTTTAAATGTATCCTAGCTAATGATCGTAGTTATATTTTTATAGGCAAGCGGGAAGTACTCCTGTTCTTCTTAAGCGTGGTTTAGACCTATGAACCTATAAAATGTTTGAGCTCAAGTATGACCTTCCTGTCACTCAATTAAATATGCCTAAGAGCTTTATCACCGACCAAGAAAAAAACGTTACAGAATTTAACGTTTAACGCTTATTGCGATCTTGTTACCCGCCAAAAAGGTCACAATAAAGGTAATATACCTTTAGATGACTACGGCTGGCCTTTTATATCGACGCCAATACATAACTATAAGGAAGGAAGCGATTAATATTTAAATATATATGTACTTAAACCTCCTACATCTTCTAAATTTAGGCATTTCACGTTGGTTCTACTCGACAATACGATTCCTAGTTGTATAATTTTTGGCGACTTAGCTTGATCCGAAACAACCTAGGGATCTAGTTGTAATAGCATGGGCATTCTCATACAAAAAAACAATTGCAAAAAGAAAGGGTATTTTCATTTTTATACAATCGCGAGATTCGTAAACACAGGTATTGAAAATGACGATTTATACTCTTAGATCTGAGCCCGACACAGTGAATGTATTGTGATGATAACTTATATCTATAGGCGCTTTGCGTAGGACACAAAAAAGTAGTTTAACTCTAGGTGACTAAATACGATGAAAAAATAAAGCCATCTTCGAACGCAAACATGCAAATTCTTAAACGGCTACTCACAGAAAGATGGCTTTCCCTGATGGTGAGGATGGTTCAGAGTGACTCGTCGTTGTATTGGGGCTCACATTCGTTGCCAATGTGTTCATACTGGCAGTAGCGTTAGAGTTGTTCGAGGAAGCAGAAATATGGCTGGAGAAATTGCTCGACGATATATTTGAACTCGTTGGACTCGCGCGAAGCAGATGATCCCTCGAAGGGCGTCGTTGACTTGCGGCGACCATCGCTTCAGCTTTTTCTCGGTACATACGAACGAGTTTTGCAGTCCAATCGCTCACCTATTGAGAATATAATCGATTTCAACGCTTTTCTAAGTCTAGTATGTGGTCAACAGAATCAGTCACGCTATCTATGGACCTATACGCTCCTAGGACGGTTATCAACATACAGCATTAAACATAAAACCATTATCTATAAGGTTTATTATAAGCTCAATATAATGCGTGATAAAGGTCCATATTTTTCTCTAATTACATTTGAATAAACTAGAGGCAAGGAGAATCTACAAAGTAAGGACGTACGGATTCATGAGGGTCAACGGTCGCAAGTGCATTGAGAAGTTTCCACGTAACAGCATGTTGCGAATGCAATGTGTTTGCTGGCAATAAACAGCCCCCAGCTGCCAAAGCCTGACTTTGTGAGGAAAGCGAATTCCCTGATGAGATCCGACGGAGCTTCTGTTCGGTAGCAATGATACCCTGATAAGTAGTTGCAGCTGCTGGCGAATTTTGAGGGGTTGCGCGAACTCCGTCAACGATACTTGTCACAACTGTATAGTAAAAACAGGAACACTTTGTTAACAGGGCTACTAGGCAGTTACATTGGACACTGTTTTATCCTTTAACACGAGCTTCTTATAGCTCATTATCTCTACAGATATTATTCTCGGTAAACTCAGTAACTATTTTTTGCGTACGCCATATGCCTTTATTACATTCCTGACATTAAAACTTACTTATAGGATGATACGAATCATCTGTTCGATATAGCAAAAAACGCGAATACAGCCGTACGTAATCAACTAATCCTACCACCATTTTTAAAAATGTCACTTACAAAATTGCGTGGCACTTTTGACGCGGCCGTGTTGCCTTTGAATAGGACTGCCTAGGCTATTATTGTTGTGACTAATACTATTGTTATTATTGTTAGCGCCGCGACCTTCTTCCTGCAGCGTCTGGCAGGCGGCGCTCACGTACTGCGAGTCGAATACACACAATAGCCATTGAAGTGCGGCTACAAGTTCCAACCGAACAAGTGGCGACCCATCCCACTGCGCTCCCACAACGAGCATCATCCCAATATGAGCATCAGTATTATCCGCATGATCTGTCCGCTGTGTTTGCGAATTGAGCAGTGTCCCTAGAGCGAATACAGCTGCAGCGCGAACTTCCGGCGAAGGATCTCGTAAAAGCGGCGACAACCTTTCATGTGTTGATGATCGAATGCCTAGCCATTTAGCATCACAATAGCCATCCCATAGTCGACCAAGGAGAATGCACAGCCACTTCTTTAAACCTTCGGTGAGCGGCTCCCCCGAAAGAAGTTCCGTGCACGCCGCGACAACATGATTTTGCATGCACGCTTTCTGACCCTTGTGGTGTCCGTTAGCGCACAAACACGACAAAATGAAGGCCGCCATTGTGCGATGCTGCATTAACATCGTGCTGTCTTGAAGAATAGCGAGGAAGTATTTGTGTGAATTTTCGCGGACAAGGTCCTGCTGGTAGCTGCAGTCAACTGCAAGAATTTTAGTCCAAATAAATACTAATAGCGGACGAAGCTCTCTCGAAGAACTTTGCAGCAGCTTCAAGATGTACGGGAAGATGCCAACAGAGAGCGCCTGAGCAACGGCCCAAGGACCCAAATCGAGGAACTGTCCAAGTAGCTCAAGTGCCCTTGTTCGATGCACCTGACTTAAAAGAACTTGCAATACAATCGGCAGCTGCTCAGGCGGTGATGGCCGAATATCTAGCGATCCAAAACGCAGCCACACCTCGAATGCTGTCAGCTGCTCGGCGAAAAACGTCGAGTGACAGAATGGCGCCGCACCACTTACGACGTCGGGCAGTTGTCGGAGACAGGCGTCCAACGCCAGGTCCCATGCTTGCCTGAAAGCAAACGAATGAGTGTCAGGTTAAGAATTACATTACTGCCGGGGTTTGAAGCTTTGGAAATACGAATATGTCTACTACATATTGAAGTCTAATTGCAAGTTTGCCTTTAGTGATCAATTCACGTCCTGACTGAATGAAAACAATTTTGCCAACAACATAATAGCTACAGCTGAAAATAGGATATTTCTGTGTTGATAATGGCCCGTGATTTGAGGAAAGGGCGTGTAATAACTGAATATACAAACCACATCGGATGCTGGAAGGTTTTCGGGAGCGCTGGGCTAGACTGTGGATTGCAATCGTATATCCGCATAACACGCTCGGCTAGTAAGAAATTTCGGAACAATGACGCAACGAGAAGATCCTGACGAAACAACTTCTGAAATAGGGATTTTGGCAATACATTCCAGGCTATTGTGTCGGTGATTGCGGTAAAGATCCAGTTCAGTTCACCCAACATAGTTCGACGATCAATAAGCGATCCGGGAATACTGCAAAATGCGGCAAATTACATTAAATACAAGCTTTAATTTGTTGTAAGGCAAGCAAACCGAAACAAAAATGCTCAAGAAGCGTAATAGCTATTGTCTTCTTTTTTATCTCAGGCGAAATAGCAGAGTTGTAACGCAACAGTCTGAGTATATTAACGTAAAAAGAACTGCATATGAGCCGGATGTCAAACGAGCGCTTGTGCTTTGATAGGCATTCGTATAAGATGTTACTGAATGAATAGCTAATCAGTCGCTTACTTTTCTATAGTCTCCAAGGTAAGTCCTGGAACGAGTTTAAACGAATTATTAAGAACGTAACATCTGAGAGCCATGTTAATTGGCGTAGTCAGACAGGCAGTAAATATGTCAGCTGGAAGTGAAGGATCCATAGGTAGAATCTCATTCTCTCGACACGCAGCTAACTGGATGCAATTCCTGCAAAGCGCATTCAGAGGCGTATACATAACAAAACTAAGTACCTGAAGCATAAAACTCTCTGTAATTTGCTGACCTGCAAACTTAAAATGTATTATCTTATAGCCAAAATGGCAAAACTATTCCTTAAAAAAAACATTGCAATAGCACTGACTACTTAGCTAGGGCACGTAGGTCGACATCATCTAGAATCGAAAACTTCGAACTGTTAATCAACATCAGATAGCAGAACGTCGATGCCGTGTTATTATTGAAAAAAAAAAGTAGAAAGATCTTTTCGGATTACGGTACTCACTCGAAATTCGGCGGTGGGGGCAACGTTGGCATCGCTCCTACCACCTGCGTAGCTGGTCCTGCCGCCGTCGTCTGCGTTGAGGAAGATGGAAGAATAATGTGTACATTCTTCTGCATAGACGAGTGTGGCGGAAGCTGGTGCTGTTGCTGGAGTGGAGATAACTGATGTAACTGTTGTTGCAAATGTTGCGACGGGTACTGATGTTGTTGTGAATGCTGTGCTTGCTGTTGTTGAAGCTGCTGCTGCTGTTGTTGAAGCTGCTGATGCTGTTGCAGCTGTTGTTCGTAATCCTTTTGGTGTTGCTGGCTCCATGCCTGAAATTTGCTGAGGAGAATTCCGGCCCCTGAACAGTCGTAAACATATATTGAAGGTGAGCCCATCCACTGCTGTAGGTCGTATAGCGATAACGGGATGTATTGGGTATATTGCTGAAAACGAGACCATCACACAAATCGAAAAAAACCGAAAATGTTTTTTCACAAGATTCTATAGGCGTACGATATTTTTACCAGGACTACAGGTAATTCAAAGCATTAAAACAAATACGTGGTTACTAGGTGCTACGAATCTAATGACCTAAAAAATCTTTACATTAAATGTTAGAACGTCCGAATCAGAATACAGAAATATAAGAAAGAAATATTGAAAGAATAATTCAAATACTTGAATTGAAAATATGCCAATCTCTGTCCTCTGTATCGACTGCACACTATTTCTGTGCAGTTTATGAAATATTTAGTGATTTCAGCCCATATAAAAACGTTATGAGAAGAGACTACAATACCCTTATGATTATGCAACTCAGATTTTTGTATCCTACCTTATTGAAGACCCAGATTTCGCCATTATTAGTAGGTTTGGGTACTCCATGTCCATTGTAATGAAATAGGACTCTTTCATCCTTAGCGCCTTTGCGTAAGCCGACGCAGAGTTTCTTCACATCCTCAAATGTCGGGTCTAATGCTTGTTTATACCGTGCCCGCAGTTGCCATCTAGAAATCGCAAAAAACAAAATCAATACAATTTCCGCAAACGAAAGCTAGGTCAACCTTGGTTTTTATATTAGTTTTCATGTATGGCATATTATCGGTCCTAAACCGGATTGATTTCGAGACCTTAGACACTTCGAAAGTTTCGGAACTGTGTTAACTTCCAAATATGAAATGGGCTGCCAACTCGAATATTATTTAGTCTTTTTTTTACTTTCGGCAACTACTTATATCTGTGGCCGGCAGGTCTTCTGGCCAGGGTGGCAAGGTGTAGAAACTTTTTTCCGCTTAAAATGGCTACGATGAGCCATCGAGTTGAAAGGCGGACAATGATCATGTGCAGTAATAACGAACTAAACGGAACTGGTATATTTTGTTTGCCTAGCGTCTTTACTTAAAGATTTATACAGATATTTGTGTATCTGTATAAATCGACAAGTGAATATGACCTCAAGGTAGCTGCAACAGGTATTCGCGAGTACTGTTTTAAACATACAAATCGATTTACCTATGAGGTATTATAATGCTGAATTCTACTTCAAAGCTTCCAAGCATGACAAAAATACATTGTTTATTGGGGCATGGTTTATGATGGTGAGCAGACTCGCCGGATATCTAATTCAGTCCTGTATTAATGATAGAGTGATAATTTTGCGTATCGGTTATCTGTAACATACCTACGAAATATTTAAATTAGCCCTAGTCACAGCTTATTCGGTCCAAAAATGAGCTTTTACTAAGTTTTGACAAAGCCAAGAAGGTAGTCTCCCCCAAAACATTTGGTCTGTGATGAATGATAAATAAACACAGGATCTACACATAAACATGTGTAAACCAGAACAACATTTCAGAATTTTCCAAAAAGTATAAACCTAAAAAATGGCACATACATATATATTAGCCCCTTCATTACTTCTGTCATCAAGACATTACCAATACACTTGAAGCAAGTTATATGTTAAATGAATAATAGACACGCATGCAATATTGAGATGTATATACATATTTTGTAATGAAGGCATTTTTATCTACATTATGGAACTATAGTATATTTAAAACAGCGACAAAAAATTTCTAACGTTATCAAAATCGATTGGCAAGAAATCGCAAAATAGTAGCGTTGCCTACCTTTCGTATTGCTTTTGAAGCGTCGAACCAATTTGATCGAGGACCTTCTGTGGTGTCATTTTTGTTAGACAAATTACTGGATCTATCCAACATTCCATGCGGGCACACGGAGAGATTTTGACGACATCAGGTGGATCTACACCGAGATTTAGACACATGACTAATGCCACGCTATTAGTACGCATCTGAAATGAAATAAGGGAAGCGAGACATGTGATAACACAAGCTAATTAGTGAAACACCGATATTTCGGAGGCCTTCACAGCGCTTCCTTATTTTTTTTGACAGAACCAGCTATAGAAATAAAATTACTAAAGTTCTTCCACGTTATTGCCATCCGAACGCCGCATCGTTGAAGGGAAAGAACTGATGACGCATTCCATTTAAAATTGTAATTAGATTAATTAAGTTGCCCTAACATTATCTCGAATACGACTATTTGTATTCTCGTTCGCCAACTGGTTGTTCAAACTGTTTCTATTATATTAGCAGGAGCTATTAACAATCAAATTGTGTCATACCCTCTCTTTAGGACGGAAGGTCTGAGGAAGCATGGATGGATCTTCTAACCCTCCTAGAGGTGTCTCCGTGTACATATCCTTTTCGAGCTTCCGCGGGAGATAAAGTGGATAGCGCCATTCTTCTTGCAACTTCTCGAGTTCTTCTTTTGTGAGCTGGGATAGGCGCAACAGTTGGCCACCACGAGGTGGAGGCGGTACTAACCGCGAGACGCCCATGGCGACGGCCGGATTCGCTTGTGTTCCAAGTGAATCATGGCTACCGGGAGTTGGGTAACCCCCTGACGAGTGGTTTCCTCCACCTACAGTGACGTTTCCGACCGCCATCCCTGTCAGATCGTGAACTCGGTTGCTGTTCCTACGATGACTACTCTCCGTGGCGCCGTTGCTACAGCCCTTGCTACTATTCGGGTTGCAACAACTACTACGGCTACTTGAAGGCGTACGCCAGAGGGGGCAGCGGGACTGGTTGTCCCGAGCGGAGCCCCCTGGCGACGCGCACCTCTTGCGATCCTTGCAATCCGCAAATGGTAGTATCTTACGGATCTCCAGCAGGACTGCGGTTGAAACTTGACAAACAACAGCAGAACGAATACTCCCGATCAGACTCGAGAAACAGTATTATAAATAGGATCAAATATGCTGAGTATATTTGATAGAAATATATCTTATAATCGCAATCCTTTTGCATGTCGTACACATCAAGATATAATATAGTTGCTGCACATGGCATAGTACTATGCCGAGAATTATATCGGTATATTTGTATTTCATGTTAAGGTTTTTCTTGCATATGTTTATTCTCCATACCTATTTAGATGTAATACATGAATTGACGAAAAGCTGCTACTACGTTTAAACATTTCTTTGAATACAGCATAAGGAACAACCATTATATACTAAAACAAAAATAATAGCGCGAAATATAGTGCGTCGATAATATAGATTGGACAATATAAAAATTTTCAAAAGTTGTTCTCATCACATAATTGGCTTTATCAATTATATGGAAGTGTACCTTCCACTATGTTTTCAACGACTACTAGAAAAAACTACGATATATTCGTCACACAGAACCAAAAAAACTAAGCTTATACACGTATGACAATTTTTCTGTAAAATGCGCCGTTGAGAAAGGGTTGCTGCCTTCTAAGAAAGCTTACAATAATTGAACCATTATTATAAACATCGCAGCGATTCGGTCTATTCTCGCTCCTAACTTGCTCTATGGTAGAATTCTATATAAAAGGATTGCATTCTGAAGGTCCACGTATATTTTGAGTGTAAGCACTTATAAGATTGAACATTACCTGGAGACAATCTCTTGATTACATCCGCCAGTGAAATAATTTTCGAGTTACGATTATCGCCCTCTACTTGCAACAAAATTTGCCCTAGTATCCTTTATATATCCAGGCTCTCAATCTCAATTTCATTTCAGATCTGTAAGGTTCACATCTAGTAGTAAGATTAATATATTCAATGCGTTACCTAACTAAAAATTAAAAGATTAATATATTATTAGAGATACCTAAGTGAAAGAACTGAGTACGCGAATATTCAAAGAATCGTTTTCCATAAAGTATCATTCAATAAGAGGCTTAAGAACGTCGTCAGTGCTTAGCCACTGAGACGTATTTAATATACGAATGATGCGACTTCAATTTTCGCGCGCTTCGAGCCTGAGAAATGACAATGCCCCTTGCCACAAGTTGCTTGACGTCATTCCATCACAAACAAACGTTCCCTATAATATTTTCATGTGTGCTACATGTTAGAACAGGTCAACATAAATATTGTTTTCGAATGATAGTTTTGATATAATCTTCCATTGTGTCTTGAAGAATGAAGAAAAGTTTTTAGGTCACCGAGGAGCCAGCCGATCAACATTTTCTTATGGAGCTCGTCCATCTGTTTTAACTACGATCTGGGAGTACCGTTAAATGCTTATTCGAGAAAGTTGGATAGGAGGCAATATCATCTTTTTGAAGGCACTGTTGCTAAATGCATTTGGATTCGTTAGTGAAGTACTATTTTGTCAGCATCAGAATAATCTATGTTACTCTAGCTAACCAACATGCTATTCACTTAGAGAACCACGAACCCCCTGCAACGGTAACAGAAGAACCATGTATTTCGTAGGCTTACTGAGTTTCAGTCAGTCAGTTTGCAAAAGTAATCATTAAATCATTTATTGTCGGATCCTTATGTCGTGAACTTTACTGTGTTTAGTGCCTCGTTTCGTTCGGTTGACTCACCGAGATTTTTAAGAAACGTCCGCCTGCTCGACAGCAATATGGGCCTATAATCACAAGTTTATCAGGTTTAGGCTACCAAGAACATCAACCGTTATTTAAATTTCCTTACATAATAGAAGATTTATGTTTGTGGAGAGCACGCAAATTCACGTATCAGTATTTGGGAACTAAGTATTTTTGAACATCTCTTTAACATACCATAAGCTCTAATTTGTACTGTTGTCAAGAATTTGCCGAACTCATCATATATGCCTCACGCAACCTTCTGCAAAATGAAAAATATTTTTTCAAGAACTCCATATCGACAAGAAAAATTGATTAGAAGACCTTCCTACCGCTTATTGTACTTTACATCAGTACAGCACTCAAAATCGACAATATTATAGTTACAGGTTTAAACCATGGAGCACTAAGCATAAAGTAAGACAACTATAAGACAGATAATTTACTTATAACACTTCTATGATAAAGAATCTGCTACTACGTAAATTGTGTGAAGTTTTCCGATACTGTCTAGTATTGCGACCGCCATGCAAATCTATTTCAATTGTCACCACAAAGGACGTCTGAAGTATTTCGTCTTTATCACCTAGCACTGCACAAATCAGTAAGGCGTCACGTATTATTTTAATGTCGACGTGTTTTTATTGAGTTACGTTTCTGCGTCATTGAGTGAGTGTCACGTGTGAACTGCTTGCGACGTAAGATAGAGCCAATATATACGCATACACCTGTTGCACTGCTTACTGCTGCCGCAGTTCTCAGAAGGCGCAGAGCGTTCGTTAATGCTTATTATTGTTTACTTCGTGACACCTCTGTGCATGATCTTCCATCAAAAAATGACATAGACTAAACGCAGAATCGCGTGTTGACTCCTATTCCAGGCGGCGCTGTTGTATTGTCGTGGCGTTGTTGGCCAAGGTGGACTCGACGCGCCTGAACCAAGGAGGTGGCTCACATCTTGACCCGATTTTTACGACATGAGAAAATTTGTTCGTATCACACACAAAAAACACACACATTAACGCCGTCGTTACTTTTAATTCGTCTTCATCAACTGTTTTTGTCAATCTCACTATCACGATAGGCTAAGGTATCGTGAAGTCCATCTGCCTGTATGATGCCTACACAATAAAGTCACGTACATCACTCTCATTGAAATTGCGCCGGAGCAAAAGAACGATTAGAACGATCGTACTGATGATTGTTACGGTGACGGTGATGGTGACGATCATGATGTTTATTATTATTATTATGCCACTGCAATCCGATTTCACTTCCCACTTTAATGAGCAACGCCGCTGTGTTAGTAACAGCCAGCACCGATTACAGTAGGATAAAGTAGCGCTTTGTCGTCGCCCACGACGACAATAATAATAACAGCATCTGTTGTTCTCTACAATTCAGTTAGTAGCAGTTGATATTGCCTTCTAATTTGGCCGAAAGTAAAGCTCTACAGTTCACCTGCTCTCACTCTGATGTTACTACTAGCATCAGATAATCATTGTAGTTATACAAGAGTACCGGCAGAAAGTTGTGTAGTTGCGCGAGCAAGTTGGACGCCAAAGACGACAACCAAAAAGAGGTTTTCATTGAACATTTGTTATATAGACGCGGATACAGCCGCACGATACCTTTACAGGCTTACATGATTTGTGCGTTTCATTGTACTCGACTTTGTCTAACGTTCCGCCCGCATTCACATAAAGGAAGCATTGGTTGGGCGCACGAAAAGGCAAAGGCTGGTCCAGATTAGCTACCGATAGACACAGCAGCAGCAGTAGCAGCAACAAGAACGACAACAACAGTAACTGACGTCTTACTGCAGGGCTGGATATTCATGGTTAACATGCATCTGTTAATACGTGTCGAGCTGACAGCCGGAGACGTTACTCCCGAATAGAAAAAGAGACTGGCATGGCTAGATAAATAGGCGGCAGAATTGAAGGTAAGATGAGGAACTCACGTCTGCAATATTTGATAGAGAACTACAACAGTCCTATTATAGGACAGAGCTGGCACAATGAAGAGCGCAAAGCTATCTGGCCTCATGCAAATAGTGGATAGTCGATAAACAAATAGGACACTTCGTCGGGAAAACGAAAACCATGTTTGCATGCTAATATAGGTTCAATAACTGACGGACTGAAGAAGGGGCAGTAAATACAGTACCGCACAACATATGGTCCTATTCATGTGTCTGCATCAGAACTTGAACAGTATCCGCTAGTTTACCGCAGCAGGTTACGCGAGTTTCGATAGCGTCCACATTGGTGATTTCAAGGCAGCAGTAGCCGGTATAGACCGGAACTGCGGCACGTGACGCAGCCAATTTCTTTGCCACCGCTATCAAGCCGATTCTGGTAGACTTTAGTCGACATAATAGTTGCAGGCTGCGCGCCATAATCTGATCCTTTCTCCTTTCCATCGAGTGTCCCCATTCATTCAGCTACAAACACTTGCTCACGCGCGGTTCGCATACAGTTCCTCCCTCCCCCTTCATCCGACCTTCTTCCCCACAACAACAACATTACCAGTAGTAAGAATTCCCAGCAAAACAGCATCTGACCGCGTAGTACCCATCCTCGTTCGGAATGACGGAGAGCTCTGCTGTAGGAAGGAAGCAGTGCTAGCTGTTTGTCTACGGAATCGCACTAGTAATGGAGGACACGAGGCCTGCCGAGCTGCCGCGGCCGTGCGCGTCTCTCCAACCTTTCCCACGTGCTCGATATCGATGACGTAGCTACTCTTTCCAGCTGCTGCTGCTGCTGCTATTAGTACAACGGCCACTACTACGTTTTATTCTACGGTAAACGGCGACAATAACGACTTCAATGACGACAACGACAACGAGAGACATTGCTAACGTCGCCACAGTCGCTGTCGATGCTGCCGCAACCGGCTATACATGTCCACGCGCGCGCGTACGCCACGCGGAGTGACGTCACGCGCTGCAGCCATGTTCGAAAGTACTGCCCCTATCGCCGCCGTGCGAGCAGTAGTTCCAGTGTTAGCTATTATGACCACCTCGGTTATTGCTGCCGCAACAGCGCCCATTTTGCTGACGTAGAGTGGAGCTAAGAGAAGCAGCGACAACCACCTTGCTTTCAACCTGTCTTCGGGGTCGTCTCATAATGCTACGGGGACTAATACGTTCGGCGCCAGCAGCAGCAAGAGCAATAGTAAGGATGCTACTACAACGAAAACGTGTATACGGCAGGCAAGCAAGGCGCCCGCGGTGAGCAGCAACGAATGTCTAGTAAATTTCGCTTCAAAGATAGGGGGTTGAAGAGGTGAGGAGGCAGTGACACGGCAGACAACGATAGGTTTTGACGGCAATCGGGGCTGTGGGCGAGACCATCCACGCAAGGTGGACAACGAATTGAATTTGATCAAAACGATCATCAGGGTCAGATTCGTTAAAGACCGAAGGCGAATAATTTAGCAATGAATCTAACCTGCGCTTTTTAAACTTATATGTTACCTATATCTATATAAGTTATTTCATTTAACAAAAATACTCAACGTAAATCGCCTTTTACGCGGAAAGCTAAAAACGTATTTCGTTCGTTGATGGCGAAGGTATGGCTATTTTGTTCGGTTCATTTGTCGTTCATAAGTGTCTGTCCGTCGTCGAAATGTACAAATGAGTCTTTTTCTGAAAATGCATCATCGGGAAGAACGCCGATTCTGCACGGCCATACCGAGAGACGCCCAAAAGCACACTGTCGTAGATGGATAGCAGCGCGGCAGCAGATACGATTTCAACTAGCGTCCTAAAGAGAATCAGTAAGAACCATGGGCAGGAACCAAATGAGAAAGGATAACAAGACGAGAGCCGTCGATCACATACGAATTTTGTGTTGCGAGTACAATATTGAGATACCGCGAACAAGACGACAGGATTCAATGGATGATCCGTTGCTAGTTAAAAGTGACAGGCTGACCATTGTGTCCAACCAACAAAGGCCATCATTGTCAGCCATTAGATTGCGCTAATAATCACCAATAACCACCATTGGCACAACATTCATACGAGCCTCCTCTAATCTTCGAACTTTGGCGTTCGCTTTAAAGACACACTGTCAATGAGCAGGTCCTGTGCAGGCAACAACCGCGGTTATGTGCCCTTGCTCAGGCAAAGTCACTTAGAGATCGCCAGTCAGCCAACGTGCCGTGACATAGACATTATAACAAAAACCATAACTCCGATAGCACTGTGAAAACCCGCCGCGTAGCGCAGGTTAATTTATATGGTACATAACTGTTACCAACGCCACTACCACAGCAGCGGCTGCTGCGTTAGCATTTGTAAACAGTATCACTAAGTAGCTGGATGAACTAGAATTTAGATAACAGCTGGTCGAATTGCCTCCACCCTTCCGATCATCGTTGTCGCCGCTATTGTCGCCCTCATGAGGACACAGCCATGTTTATAAGCTAAACGAGTACTCGTCATAGTAGAGGCACAACTCTGACCCACTGCCATCTAGAAACCTAATGATATATGTACACTAATAAGCACACCTATCATATAGCAACCAATACATTATATATATAGAGAGGAAGGAAGAGACGGACGAAGGGGGGAAAGAGGTGAAAAGTACTTGTACGTTGGTTACAGATGCTGGCAATTAGATAGGAATTCCCTTACATAAAGTGTATGTGCTTTGCTCTTGACGAAATTGGTCTAACTCAACTGTGTGGTTTATAACCGAGATAGTCACAACCCGTACTACTCGTTAACTTTTGGCTTTCAGCTGACGCCATTTGTTCGAAAGACACAGCCTCCATTCTTTCCTCTAGGTTTAGTGTTCAATCAGAGGAATACGACGATCTTTATCATACTCTTACCTTTAATATATTCAGAACTAGTCTTTATCTTGTCACAGGCACTACTGGCCAATACGAGTCATTTTTGGCTTAGTTATCTATTTCATTTTTCCTGTATCCATTCTATAAGCTGAAACACGTGACCTATTGCATCTTCCGCTATAGCTGTGCAAGACTTATTCATGTTAACTTTATCTGGTGGACGGAAAACTGGGAAATAAATCTCAGTGAATCTTAAATCATCCGAGACTGGTGAACAGTTATGGGCCTTCTCGATAAAAGAAATCAATCATGACTTTGCCCCGTTCGATTCGCGCTGTCATTGCCGCCAGTGGCGACATAACAAATATAGAAAATGACTACGCGTTCAACCAATTTGATCTTTTATTCCTTGATAAGGTTATATTTCTCCTATATAATAACAATAATAATAATAATAATACTTATATGAATAACTGACCAAGTAGAAACATTTACCACATTTCAATTTCTTTCAGTCGAAATAATTATATTTCAAAAATATCATAGCTATTTAATTGACCACCAGCCGTTGCAATAACTGTACGATATGAGAGCGTACGTCAATTCACAGATCTAAGGAAAAAATTTGAGATGCATGAGCGCGAAATTTTCTGCAGCGGTTCCAAAGTTTGAAGTGCGTCGGTAATATCATGTAGAGCGGCGATTTTTACAGGCCGGGAAAAGACTAAAATAAGTTACAACCGGCTTAGAGGTTCTATTTACCATCGCCGTAACTCGTCCAGTGACCTTCACTCAACGATCAAAAGTAACGAAGGAAAGGCGTAAAAAAGATAAGATCTGAGTCATATCCGTCCAATGGCTGGCTCGCTTATAATGCTCGTTTCAAGCTATTGTATCGTGTAGAAAACTTCTTGCCTAAATAGCGACCACCGTACTGTTGCGTGTATCTGACAACAGCTTATCATAATATATATATATATATATATATATATATATATATATATATATCAGCCACAACAGTTGAAACCCATTGTCGGTCAGGGATGTTTTATTCTTTAAATTTCAGCCTCAGGACTACTGCGTATGTTAGCCCTTCTTGTGCTAAATTGCATCTGAGCAGCCATATCCGAACACCATTCATCGTGCGTCCGCGTGTTAGTTAGCCCCCAGCCCAACATACCCGGGCAAACGCCGACTAATCCCGTCAGAAAGAATCTGTTGTGACAGCCATTACGGCGATAGTAACCACAATGGCGACAGCATTGGCGCACACATGACTCGAGCAAGCGTCGTGGGCGGCAGCGTCGTTGTTACTTCTATAATTGCCGTAGAGGACGACAAATACGGCGCAGTTGAGTCGTTGTAACCGTCACTATCACAGATATCATCATCGTCATCATAATCGACAACAATAATAATAATAACAACAACTCGTTATTTGCACTGAACGGAACTGGGCAAACTATCGATAAACGTTGGAAGGGCCATAACTTTATATGGAGAGAAAAGTAGGAGATTATATAATTTCAGGCTGGCTTTTTGGGTAAGTTCGGAAAACTAAAACCGCCTCAAGATCGTAGTCGTCTAACATATTCTTTACGCACAGCTTCCGGTTTCATATGGAGTATTACTATAATGCACACTCTTTGGGGACGGCTTTAATAGAAGTAGCGGCAGCGAATGATGCTGAAGTTATCCTTCTGAAAAATGTAATGAATGTCGACGGTCTGGTTAAGCTAAACGGCTAAATACACATAGATGAACACTGTGTTCTATTCTTATTTGACGCATGTGAGCTTGTGATGATGGCTCTCGTCTTGGCTGTTGTACGTGCCATTAAGTCTGCCACCGTTTTCTTACGGCAGGCCATCCGTATATATTATCATCATCATGGTCGTCGGTGTCTGGCTGATTGACTGGCTCGTTAGTTCGATTCAGAGCGTGCACAAGGCCCCCAAACTTTCTTTCTTTCTTTCTCTCTCTCTCTCAACAGCATATTGCCGCGTTCAGTTAGTTTACTCGACCGGCTACTAACCCGCACGAACATCCACCCACCCATTTATCTACCTGTCCGCTTCGCGCACTGCGTACTTATTACATACAGCTGCTATAATTGCTAGCACCACGAATGCTACAACTGCTACAGTCGCCACCGTACTAGCCGCCAGCTGGCTACCACAGACTATGCGATAGGCAGAGACCAATCCACTGGATTCAAGAAGAAAGAACGTCGCACGGCGACAACCGGCCAGCCGGACATGGGCAAACATACAGTTAAAAGCGGACGGCCAGCAGATACAGTGGTATTAGTAATGCAATATTATCATTGCGGTAGCAGTAAAAGTATTTCGACGGACGAACGAATGACTGAGTAACTCCTGGCCGCTGTGATTGCTGTTGATGATGGTGGTGCTGCCATCTACAGCAACCGATGCTATCGTTAGCAGCAGACGAAGACGGCAAACGACCCACGGACCAAGTAAAAGCAAGCGAGCGAACGGATGACCCAGACACACAACCAAATAACCATACTACCAACACAAAACGTATAAACAAACACATAGGCACGCACAGAAGTCTACACAAATTTTCACACGCAAACTCTTCTTCTCAGGGAATCAGATGAAAAAGGAAAGAGCTATTAGCAACAATAGAACTCACAATCGTTGTCATCATCATTATAATCATAATCACGTCAAGATCATCATCAATGCACTTCTCAGTCGCAACGATGAATAATCCAGCCGATATCACTTATACCTTCATCACCAGCATACTTACGAGCTACCTCTCTATCTATGTTATATTTTCGCGATGATCAGCCCATCTACGTATCTACTATACTACTAAAAGTCTGTCTGTTTGTTTGACCTAAATCAACCTTGTAAAGTGCTTGGATTTTCTCTGGGTCAGACGAGTTTCATTCTGGGAAGATCGTCCGGTAAGATGGAGTCGATTGGATGAATACCTTTTCCCATTAAGGGTAATGTTGATTTAGGCAAATCGGTCGTTCTTCGCAAGTTGTTCGATAACCGTTGAGAAGTGGTGGAATGCTATTATATTGGAAAGCTATTTGTTTTTTCAAGCTCTACTGAATTAGCGCGACATTGGAATTTAGGGTACATTCATTATTTTTTGGCAGTTTTGTCGTGAATCGGTGATTGTTGCCCACATGTTCCATGACGACTGGCCAAATATGAACCGTTTACGTGCATTTTGTTTTCAAGTATACTTTTGTTTCATTATCGGGAGGGAAAAGTAACTCAAACTTTGTTCGAGAAATTTGTAGGGGGAAGAAGGTAAGCTGTATTTAATGGAAGTTTCGTCTTCTGAAAAATGGCAACTGAGTCTTTATATAGAGGTCGTGTCTAGTATCCTGGCGTTTGAATGTTGAAAATTTATGAAGCACGGTTCGCTTTTTAAACTCTTTGCTACTAATGAATAGATCCTAACGAATTGAATAAAATCAAATACATACCCTTAAAATGGGTATTTGCGAGTTAATTGGCAAAAAGCAATCGTATCGGTTTACCTATGTAACATCGGGTTGAAAATTCGTTTTGAGATCCTTTCAATCTGTTATTTAAGCGAATTTCAATGCTAACCAAATCAGTTCGTACTAGGATAGCCAGATGAAGCAGCTGGCAAAGGGTAACAGTTTAGATGTGCAAGGTAAATGCAACGAGATATCCTTGCTGTATACATTAGGCTGACTTAGTTGAATCAATGAACGCACTACAGGCACCAAACGAAATCCTTAGCTTTGTCTCGTACCTAGTAAACACTACGTCGAAATAGAGTTGTGCGTCAACAGGGACTATTATTACTGTTCGATTGTGAACGAATTTATGTCGTATCATTGCACGTTTCTCTACCGGCCCCGTTCGCATTGCCCAAGTTCATTCTTCCCTGGTGCAGTAGGCTTAATTCAGTCCCTATGTTCTAGCTATACGCGTTGGTTTGATTGTTGCAGCCGTACGGCTAGTCAGCCTTCAACCGGTTTGCAAAAGCCTATTTATTAGGCTAGCATAGGCGAATCCGGTACATTTTGAGTAACTTTTTAGCTATGCGCCACTAACAGATGAGATCCGTCTTGTGAATACTTGAATTCAGGAAGCTTGTGAGTGACACCAATTAAGTTTAGTGCAGGAAAAATGAGTTCAGAAAGCAAGACGTCTTTTAGTCTCAAAAGTCAACGTCCTGTGGGTCTAGTTTCTATTCCTCAAAGGCCACAGCACTGCAAAATTTTATCGATGACTGGTGAAAACATTAGCCAAGAAGACGAAAGAACGCTGCATAAGCGGTGCCGACGTTTGAAAAACGGAGATTCAAGTGTTGAAGACCACCTAGGGGGTGAGCAAATGTCATCCGAAGCACAAAAACAAACTGTCGCAAGGAGACGTTCCACGAAAGCAGAACTCTGCCGACTAAAACTGATATTTCACGTATAGTTTGTTACGGAACCATGACCCACATACTGAAAACGTGTAAACTATATGAATCGACTACAGACTACTTAAAAACGCGTTTGAGGTATGATTCCACGTGTAATTTGCGGAACTTTCATCAACAAACTCGCCTGTAGCATATGGCCGCCATAAATAAAGCACGGTTCGGTCTCTACCGTCAGCACGAATGTTGAGCAGGCGAGTGAATAGCACCGCTCTAAAGGGAAATCGAGTTTGGCAGCAGTGCTGGACGTAACGTGATGGTAGTACTTGCAATGGACATCAAAGTGTTACGAGATAGTTGCCGAAAATCAAACAATGCTTGCAGTCTCCCACCTCTCAAATCACTCATGGACCGCTGGCGCGGCAATCGAAGGCAGTGTTATCATTCCATGCTTCAGTAATTTCTTGAATTGAGTATCTAACGTTGGCTTGAACCTGCTCACCCTTTCAACATAAGTCTGTAAAATTATTGGATTGTTATGCCCTAGAAAAGGCAGCTGATGGGAAAATATATTCCCGCTATCGACATACCTTGAGAAACAGTAAATATAAATTACACATAGGAGCGAGAATGGTAGGTACGTGGCTATGCATGAGCTGCCACATCGCTGCGACAAATGTACAAAAAATCAATGGACGTATTTTGAACACTTATTAAAAGTCACAATTATAGCCTAAGTGACTATTAAAATAACAAAGACTGCAGCAGCCTAATAATTAAAAGTGAATGGAACAATTTCATTATTTTAGTATTGGCACCGTCGAACCATTAGCGTGACTATTCCGTCGTCGAGATCAAATAGATAGTAGAAATCATAATAATAGTAACCAATAACAATAAAACAATAACTATAATAACGATAATAATATGTAGTGGTATGGTTTACTATGGTACTAGTTAGTAAAACACGGTGTGGTGTAATGTCCATACGGAAGTAAGGCTCCGAGGCGACTCAGCTGAAAGCCATGTCTTGCTGTGGCCGTTTCTGTTGTCGTTGTCGGTGCCTCTGCTGCCCTTCGGCTGTTCCTGCTGCTGGACTGGCGCGTACGTCCTTTTCCGAAAGTTACTATCTTTGTTTTTCCACTTCAGGTTATTCGTATTCAATATTACCACGATTTTGGTCACTGTTTCCTAGTAGAACTCGTTGTTGAGTGCGCTGAACTACTGCTTAGTACACACACGCAATAACAGAAGCAGATTCACAAAGACAACACCCGTGACAAAAGCCATCTTCGTACTCCATCCATCCTCCACGGGGCACGTTTCTTTACTACAGCTATTGGTGCACGGTACCTTCGCCAGCAGCACAACCACAAGAGAGAACAAAAACATTTAGAGACAGATAGACATACACGCGCACACACACACGCGCACACACACACACACACAAACAAATAGAGGAAGCGAAAAAAAAAGTAGATTTGTACTGGAAGCCACTTCTTTTCGATAGGAGACTTTCACGATCTCTTTTTGAACCCGAAAGCGGAAAAATTAATCTCACATACTCTTCTTTACGAAGGCCAAAACGAACGTTCGCTTTTCGTCATCAGACGCAGACAAAAGGACAGCCATTCGCTTTCGAGTTATGCTATTTTGATCTTTCCGAAACGATTCCGACCATCGAACATCGTGCACCCACTGCACGCTCATTGTTTCATTCGATACACATGTGAACCAGGGAGAGAATTCGGGTGTCGTCTGGCTGACAAGTGAAGTAGCAATAATCAAAGCGGTTATACAATAATAACAATAATGGTACTGCTAACTAATAGCATTTATTAAGTAGTACTAACAGCGAATGCTTCTGAACGGCGGGATTGTCCTTCTGCCCGCCGAGAAGATGGCCGTATTATCTAGTGCGTTGCGACCAGTGTATCCCTTTGTTTTCTCGCTGTCTGAGTTTCCTTCGTATATTATCCTCAGCTAGTCTCGCTGCTGTTGTTACTGCTGCCGCTGTTGTCGTCTCCCTGCTTAACACAAGTAAACACGAAATTTCGAAGTTCGGAGTTCAGAGAGCATGAGGCCACTGCGGGAGCGCACTCAGTCACTCACAACATGCGGCGACAGTTGAAGACGAAGAGGACAACGAATTCGCGGTTTTTTACGCTGGCTGAATAACTCCAAACACGCTTATGGCTTACTCACTTCGGTTATGTTGCACTGAACGAACGAATACACCTCCTTCCCTGACACTTGCAGCAACTGTAACGGGAAACTACGCAAATTCTGCTGCTGCGGCGGCGGCTGCTCGTCATTACCGAAGCCCATGAGAGCGGCCATGCCTCCCCTTGTGTCTTCTTCTTATTATTATTGTTGTTAAGAGGAGATTATATATGTCTGTCTGCCTGTCTGTCTGTCTGTTTGCCTGCCTGCCTGGCAGTTATGTTCGTGTCAGTCGCTGTTGGTGCCTCTGAGGGGGAGGGGTGTGTGTATGTCTCCGCCGCTATTGATTCCCGAACAGACGTCAGCTGACTACTGCTGTGGTTGCCGGCGATAGAAGCGTCACGCACAGCAAAATGTCGCTGCAGCTCGTCTAGTTATTGTAACATCTAAATAGAAGCATACCGTCTATTTAAGTGCTTATTGCTGATTACACTTTGATCATTAAGCATAGACGTGATCTGTACGTAGCGCGCCTCTATGTCTTGTACGCAGACCACTTCGCGAACTACTAGTATCACATCACACTCGAATCGAACACATCACGACAAAACGGAATAATTGAGTAAGTAGCAATGAAAACAGGCACAGGCCGTTTGAACATTTACAAGAATAACAACCAGCCTTTTCGCGTGAATTCGATTCTTCATCACAATTTAATCATCTTTCGTCATATTTGTTAGCTACTGTATTCCTTCCGCTATCACTATGAGGAAGTCATTAGACTTTTACGCCTTCTCCCGCTAAGTTGCGCCTACGACGCTCGCCGGCAGATGATAGAGGTAGCTGGCTAACAACGGTAAAGCGGGTCAACAGCGAAGTTTCTATGCTGGGCGGTGAGCGCAATGTGTGTCTATCTGTGTCTGTGTGTGTGTATTTATGGGTTCTCCATCGTTAGAACTGTCGTCTCGTTTACTCAGATATATGACGATGTTTCCCATGCTGCTGCTATTGTTGCTGTTGTTTGTTGGTGGTGTTGTTGTTGTTTCCGTTGTCGCTGCTGTCGACGACGAGGACGACGCTGATGGCGCTGTCGTGCTGATAAAGTTGGACACCGCACTGTCGTCTGCTGCTAAAAACTGCTGCCGTGTTGATCTGTGTCTTATTTGCATATTATAGTAGCCTCCTCTCCAGCAGCAGCCGACGGGAAGTGGACGGTCGGAAGAAGGGTCCGCTGTTGCTGTTTGTCGACTGCTACGGTGTCATCATCTCCTACGCTGTGGGAAATGGCGATGCTGATAGCAAAGTTGAAATTGTTGTGGTAGTTGTTGTTGTTACTGTTGTTGTTGTTGTTCTTGTTGTCAGTATGCTGCCCAGCAATGCTGGTTGGTCAAGCACTAATCCAGTGTGGTCTTAACGGTCTGTCTATTCCTGTTGATGGTCGCTTCTCTTAATTTGTTGCCGACAATTGCTTTTAGCTGTTGACTTTAGTGACGATGCCACTGCTGCTGGGGCTGAAGCAGCAGCAGCAGCCCCAATATCGGAGAGGTGAGTAATGTTAAAGCTTGAGAGTTGACAAGGTGCCTCTACTACGGTCGTATATTACTCATTATCGTTCTATAATTGTCGTGGCTTACGTGCACAAGATTAAGGTAAAGTGAAAATAGGCAAAAAAGCAGATCCTATGACACTGTGTCATCTGCGCAAGGAATAAGGACGCGGAACGGACAGCACAGGACGGGCCGTCAGTATTTAATAGTGGTCAGATAGACGGACGAACAGCGTTCGCCAATTCGTGGCCCGTGTGGGCGAACGCTCAACAGCAACCCAGTGAGGAGTGCAATTGTTATCGAAAGGGTTGATAGACGTTGCAGCTTCTCTAGATGCGATTATTTCTTCCAAGACTTCCTGCTCCTGTGTGTCAGCTCTACTGGACAGCTTTCACTGAACGTGTAACAATAATAGTAGGTGCCGTCGAAGAGTGAGTCTTACTGGTGGAAGTAGAATGGGGTTGCCACATGGATAGTGCGCATGTTATTTCGCCATATTAGTCGCAACACACTTTACAACAACGGTACATTTAGTAAAAAAATTATCTGTGATCGTACTGATCAGGCACGACTTATTGCTGTTGAGGATGTATTAGCTCATGTGTTTGCAAAATTGAAAGCCAGCAGACAAGTGATCCTTAGTTCTTCGGTAGTAGAAAAAAAGAATTTAATTTGGTGGAACGGCAGCTAAAGAGCCGTTAAAAGCGCTAATGGGCTTACACCCCTGATATAACACTCGCACAGTTGAGTAATAATGCTTTAAAGAACATTTGGAGGATAACAAGAGGAGACAGTGAGTGTCCTTGATCTGTGGTAGAGTTTGCTATTACTATTATTATAAAAGATAACTATTTATTGTACTACGTGTCCGCAATTAACAATGGATAATGACGCGCACCCTCCCTTGACGACTAATTCGTAGTGACTCGGACTGACGGAAAAAGCAGCGGTGACAACGGGGGGGTACACGGACTGCAAAGTAGCTACTATTACAATTATAATAACGATACAATGGTACTTACGCAGCGACACATGTCTGCCTAAATCGTATCGACAGGATAATCATCATCAACATTAAAGTGAGAATTTCTGCGATATCAGATCAATGTCATCGTCATTTGCTAAAGTGGAGAAGTGAAGTTGGTGCTGCGTTCGAAATTCTTGTGTTAACGTTGTCGGTACTGTATTCTACAGCTGACCTGAATAAGAAATGGTTGACTGCTAGACAGACGAACCGATAAAGAATCGCTCACAGACGTTACCATCGTCGGCTAATCTCCGTCTGATACCGCTGTTCCATCAACTGGTTGCTGGTTCCATTGATGATAACGTCGTAGACTAGCCCGGCGTTTGATCTGGTCTCATAGTTGTCGAGTTTAGTGAACGTCACTGCTAGAAGGTCAGTGTGTCAGAAGGCCAAGAAGCAATACTGGACGAAACCAGCCGGAACCATCAAACAACGACAACCCCAGTAGCAGCGGTGGGAAATGGGTGACAGTTCCGCGTTTATCGAGAAAGTTTTCTCACCGTTTGTGGCCATTGCCGTTAGCGAAGACGCAGATGAACTCTGCGCTAAGAATGGACTCACTTTCAGTGAGCTCATACAGCCGTTCACAGACAATATTGAAGGTGAGTCAAGCAAATAGTCATGTATTCTGCTAATATCAAGAAGTAACCTATTGCTAACCTTTTGCAGAAACTTCAAAAGATTTTCTTTTGACCCATACGATAATCCAGAGTAATAGACACTTTGCACAAGCATAGATGCGTTCGAAATTTACAAGGAAGCGAATCTATTTCTTGGATATAAAGTACGTAGCAGACACGGAAACGAGAAAATATATTGTTTTTGTTATAGGGACATAAATTGTCAACGGCTGCAGTCAAGATCAACGGGGAAAAGTCATCGGTCAGTCACTTATTATAATAATATTACGAGTCTGTTGTGAGTAATTTATATAAGTAACATTCTCTAATGGAGTAAAGTTCCCATTGAGAAATTACTTTCATTGTAATGTGGCTGTTCGTATGACAACGTATACCCATGATGACTTCTCACGATAATTGGTTTTTCGTTGTTTTCGTGGCGTAGGGCAATGTGCAGATCTCAGGGGGTTAAAGTGAAGTTAACGTTGCTGAATGACTTATTGGGAAAGGTTTCAATAGTCTTAGTGGAGTTTAATCTTGAAAACAGCAGTTGGTGCCTACAGTTGTGTCCAGCAGAAACTCAGCCAACTATATATGTACCAATGTTTTATGAAGTACTTCACGATTAGAGGGATGACATTTCAGTGTTAGTGTTTAGTAAGGACCAGTTTATTTATTCCATTGTTTTAAAATTATTTTTATGTTTAAAGGTGAAGTTCTGACATTTTTACCTGCAATTGTTTACCTATATGAAATGATTGTGTGAATATCCGGCCCTTAACAATTCTAATGACGATTACAAAAACTATTACAGTTTCGCTAAATGCCAATTCAGCAACTAGAACCTCATACACCTTGTTCACTCAAATATATGTATTTTTGAGTAGAATATTCCTTTATATTCTGTATCTCCACTTCGAGCATTTTAAATTACTGGACGAAAATCATGGCGATTAGGTTGTATCTCGTAGGTCGACAAGGCGTATGTTATAATAAACGATTTGCTAATCGTTTTTATACAGTCTCTATGTCTTATTTAGCTGGTAAATTATATATTAACAAATGAATTGGCGCAACTAGGAAGACATAACATTATTTGCAAAGTATTATTGGCATGCCGGACTAAATTGTGACATTAATTTTCAGTATCACTCTTCTGTTTTACTGCAAACATTAGATATGCTAATATTAATAACCGAATTATATGGACTAATCGAATGCCAGAGGATCTAACACCCTAGATAAACGCTGTTTATTTGTTAGTCTTAAGGAGATTACATAAACGCCACCTCTTGCATCAATTGTATTTGACGGAACTGCCTCCGATGTTCAGGCATAAAACTGTATAATTCGGCAAAAGTGTATTCACCTTTGATGGTATATATTTAACAAAACTTTTATATATATATATATATATCCGTTCGTATAGCTCTTAAGTTACAACATTCATCGCCTTAAAAAGTTTAAGGGAATTAATCTGCAATAGCATTAGCGTACCGGGTTCCCGAGCGAGAGTTCTAAGGTGTAGAAATCTACATGATATTTATTACAGTCCCCCCATATCTATTACAAATACACTCCTCGCGCTTATAATCTGTGGTGCAGATCGTGGGACGCGAAATAAGTAATACGTGACGGTTTTGTCTGTTCCGGTTTCTTTCAACCGTTGTTGCGCATCGTTCCGGTGCTAAAAACTTTACCGTATTTCTGCGTATATCTATTCTTTCCTAGCTTCTGGGGAGGTCTCAAATGGCGGAAATTTAAAATGAGATTTCAGATCCTCGACGAGCAGCGGGGTGTTACCAAAAAAAGCTTAACTAGTGAGTTTTCTGCCGTACGATAAAGGCCCAAAGCACGTGTCAAGAAAAAGGTTTTCACTAGGTTGAGTAGTTCAAGATACCCTGAAATTAAAGTTGCTCCGTAAGCCGCTACCGACGTTGCTCTGAGATCGAATAGGCGTAGCGCTGTCATTGCGAAAAGACGACTTAGGATCGTGATCGCACAAGATGCGGTTAACGCTTTTTTGCATCTTTCCGTAATGTATGAAATGAGGTTGTTACTATTAAAGAAGATAAGCAACCTGAGAAACTGAGAGATCTGTTCATATACGGAAGGAAAATTTGACGAAAAACAGTGACGAAAACGGACTGGGATTTTGCCTCCTCTCCTAAATTTCACGGCCTCCATCTTATTTAGAGTGATATTAATGCCAATAAATTATTGTACTATGGGTCCTAGTCAGATTCTGCTGCATTTGATCTATTAGGCCCGTATATAGTTTGGTTTTTGCTTTTGCCAAAAAATTCTCTTGTTTCAGACTTATGAATACGTTCGTGGAGGTAGGCTAGCAATATTCGTTAAATTGACGGAACGCTAATGTTTGCGCTGATTGCGCTCCAGTTTTGTATATATTTTTTTTCTTCTATTTTTTAAGAACATGTTATAAGCATTGCAAGATTTATGTCTTTGCCGTTTCTCAACAGATAGCGGGATTAAGATCGATGTTCTCTAGATTAAGTTAAATCGGTGATGATTAAATTGCCTAATGTTCTTCGAACATTGTCGAATGTATTCTTGTATCTATATTATTTTTTACGCTGGGCAATTCCTTTATATTGGCCCATTCATTAGGGCTCGACGATCTTACTGGAGAGCTACATTTTACACGAACTATTATTTCAAGGCACGCTCCTTCTCTAAGGGTGTTGTGATGTTGGAACGTTTGCTTGAATTTTTAATTATTAGTTGCTGATATCAATCATTTACTTCACTAGGTATTTTAGTCTTTTCTGTTTAGAAAACTGACGAGAGGCCTTATTTTATTGCGTTTACATATTTCCAGTATCTTTAAAGGATCCCTCAGGAAACGTGTTGCCTCCGGTGAAGCTTAAACTAAACTTTTGTGATCTTACAACACCGTATCCACAAGGATCATTGGCCAAAAAACAGCTTTCAGAAGCCGTGCTTCGAAACCAGCCCAACATCGATGGACCGGGTCCGCGGAAGACGCTTATCACACATGGAATATATGAGGTCGATGTGTGTCGTAAGTATTTCCCGAATTGTGAAAATCTTCAATTCCTTTAAGAAAGAAATAGTTGTCATACGCGCGTGCTTATTTAGTGAATCCAAAGGATTTCTTTATTTGCACTGCCAATAGAAAGAGTATATTACGAGGAAGAAAAGGTCTACTGACTTTAGCGTTTAATTTATAAATGCAAATATCACATTGGAAAAAATAACATTACTGTTTTTGAGTTTTTTGTTTTTTCTATATAACGCTGAATGCTTTTAGCTATTCTGAAAAAAAATAGTCAACGAAAATGGGTAGTTGATGGACGTTGGCTGTCGAAAGGTACTTCATTAGCGGCCAGATCTGAAATTACTTTCGCGAAAAGTGTAAGAACATTATTATTTTTGTGACGTTTTTCAGCGGTGACGCCATGGTATAATGCGTATCGAGACGCTTTCTTCAGATGCTTGGCACCTCAGGAACACGACTTTACTCGCCATTTTGTCGGATGCGTTTACGTTGTCAGTTCTGCCCATCAGGCACCACAACAGCAGCTAACGCAGCTCATACAAAACGTCAGCACCGTCCAGCTGAATCTATCCCATCATTCGAAATGGTTTTTTGGCCAGACAGGTCCTCAGTATTTCGTCCTCTTACACGATGGTGGTACGGGCGACAACACCATGTACGTATCAAACGGAGTCAGAAAATTAACACCGATTTGAGCTTTTTGACTGTGTGTCTAATGTGTCAACTCGAACGTAACGCATAAATCTGTGATGAGTAACGATTTTATTGAGCTATCTTACAAGCGTCCCGGTGACGTCTGAGGCGGTAGCAAGGTAGGTGTCACAAGCCAGGTGTGAATAAAGCATATGTGCGGATCATCTGCGGAACATCTGCGGAAAAAAAGTTTTCTCAACAAAAAATATATATCTACAGTGAGAAGATGGCGAGCAATGCCAAAGGGTTACACATCTGGGGATTGCATGGCGCTCACCTATTGTCTCTGTAGTAGTATATAAATAGACTCTGAAAGCGGACGCAGCCAGGCACTCCAGGTCGGGGGCCTGTCAAGAGAAAATGCTTTCTCACCTACCTTAAGAGAACCGTGACATAAGTTTTCTGTTTAGATTTCTGTTATAGATCATTTAGTTTTTATCATTGTAGAACAGCTGTGTGTGATTATAAACATTGGGTTCTAGATGTTTATTAAAGGTTTTAAGTGTTGACACAGTCGCCATAATGGTGCACTTGTACCGTGTTTCTCTATTACATTTACGATACGTGAGATAATATGCATTCGAAACCGGGCGTAGAAGTACCTCGTCTTGTGTGGACGGAAGCCAGTCGTCTCAAGCAATAGTTAATAACAGTATCAGGGGACATAATAAACGGAAAACATATCTTTAGGCTTGACAGAAATATTATACAGGCACAAGCATCTACAAAGAGTACAACTTCGTAGTCGAAAGTTGCTGTCTCTAATTTTAAAATGTATTTTCAGTTTATTTTCCAATCAACTATTTATTGACGCTGACAGCGGTTTTCAGACATAGGTTGAAATTTCCAATCGAAAATGAATTATAACTATTTGGAATTGTTTTTATTTACTACAGCTATGCGAAACCGTGTGTACGTTTATAGGGCCGAGGCGACGTTTCTGTCAATGAAGAATATTCACGGTTCAGCCAACTGTCATATGCTAACTATCAATTCTGTATCACCGTCAAACCCTCCTCCGGCAGGGGGAGCTGATATTTGGTCACCATTGATAGATTTGACTGCGCCAACGACACCCAATGGTGAGCAGCATAATGGCTGTTCAACGCTGTTACCACCTAAAGTCGAGAGTAACGGCGGCCTCGAAATGGTTGAACGTGAGCACCCACTCGACCCACTTGGGCCTTTGTCCGCCAGCAGTCCTACTATGGATGAACCTACATCACCAATCGCGCCGAAAAGGCGTGGAGCATGGCTCACCACAACAGATCGGGAGAACGTGAAGACGTTTGTCTCAGATTTTGCCACCCAGTGCCTAGCCCCTCAAATTGAACAACATTTGAAGAACCTCGCGGATCAGGTGGCCAATAAAAAAGGACTTCATCGTCAGATTGCTGTTGCGGCTAAGAGTTTCTTTGCAGGCCGAGGCAAGGGAAATATTCTCGCCAGCAATAACCCGAATGTTGTCAACTCAGTGATATACAGCCAGCAGGCACCCGAATTAGTGGTTCGAAAACTGGGTGAGTGGTTAAATGATTCTTTTTTGTCGGTCACGCAATACATAGATGGAAAAGTGTGTAGTTGTGTGTCCTGTAAATGTGACTAGAGCATGTATTGAATTAAACTACTATGTTTTGTTTGTCTATCTGCGAAATTTAGGTGATCTAGCATTTTTGTTTCATCAATACGAAACAGCATATCAAGCTTACCATGCAGCAAAACGCGATTTTCACGGCGATCAAGCGTGGCTCTATTGTGCTGGCGCCGAAGAAATGGCCGCACTAAGTGTGTTTATGCTGGGAAAAGATGGACCCCGTTCATATCCTCACCATTATTTTAAAAATGCGATCAATGCGTACCTCAACGTCTGCAAGTACGATTACAATTATGATTTAAAATATTTAACTATGATGTACTGTCAGTAGGAATTTTTAAGCCAACATATTATTGTATTTGCTATTAAGATTATTTTTTACTTTTCTATCCCCATACAATCTATCATCTTTAATTTTACTTTATTTATGGTACTCAATATAATTCATTAGGATGGTGCTTAGTTAAACATAATGCTTATGCACGTTCAATTAGAAATAAATGCGTTAAGCGTGAATTTAATTCTAAATTTCTTTTTTGCTAACCTTCCAAATAAATATACAACTACACTGCGGCATTCAGTATGAAATGTGAATTAATAATTTTTTTTCGCAAAAATTATTCTTTTACGTTCGATCGGAGTATTCATCGTTACTATTTTTAACCTCCTGCCATTTGTATAGTAACTTATTTACTGTGTAAAAATTTAAGATACGGGAGAATATAAAGTTTTACGTAGGAACTTGAACATTTTTCCTGCGAAGGAACTGTTGAGATTTAAAAAAAACTATGAAGATGCTGAAAAAATGGCAGAGAGTTTTAACAAATGGTAGAAAAAAGGAAGCAATGCCTTGTAAGTACAAAGGGTATTAAAAGCTTCCAAAACCCTGATTCCTGCAACGTGAGGCCGAACGTTGTCGTGTACCTCCAGCGGCCTAGCTCTCTTCACAAATCCCGGCTGTTTAATGCATTGTTTGCTTCTCTGATTGTTAGCAGTGCACTCCAATCGTCATTGACTCATCAAGCTGTAATAGGTTTCATTTGCACTAGGCCATCGAAGATAGACCACAAGCATTTGCAGCTCTACACTTGCTTTTTAAAATTATGCTCCGCCAGCTCATTTGTATTCGTCCTTGAAGAAAAACTGTAGATATCAAAGAAGAATATCATCTATTTTTTTTTTTTACAACAAATCGTAGTTCGATACAAGAATAGGTTATTGTTTAACTGACAGAAGCGTTTCTACGTCTCAATTTTTTTTTATCTTTGCCTGAATTAAACGGCATCCATTATTATTTCATTGTTTTACCTTAATTTCAGCTAGCTGAATAAATAAGGTATTTTCGCATAGACCAAATCTAAATTCCAACACGCGTAAACCTTAAGATACTCGATTTTTATTATAATCCCCAATGCTTCCACAAGGCTCATTGTCGGGACCTAAATATCCTTCTTTTTTCAACGTCAATGCAACTTGTTTGCTAGAAGCCCGAGTGACAGTATCCGAGTAAATAGTTCCACATCCCAAAAAGTGAAATATAACTAAAAAAAAAAATACCCAAAATCTAGCACCGGTGTGTAATGTGGCAGTTTTAAAATATGAGATTAACGTTTACGGCACCTCATGTTAAACGGCCTGATTAAAATACATGGTCCTTAATTGGAAGCTAATTTTTTTCTACTGGTTTGTGGTATGTCTCGTCATGCAGAATGCCTCAGCTGGCGACTCGGGCGACTCTTCTTCATGCGGAATGTTTACGGTCCCTGGGAGAGTATGAAAAGTTGGCTGAACAACTTATCCATTTAATCTCTGAGGATTCGGACCTTCGTTCAGCGTTGCTCCTTGAGCAAGCTGCCTACTGCTATCTGTCGATGCAGCCAATGCAATTACGAAAGTACGCATTTCATCTGGTGTTGGCTGGATATCGCTTTTCCAAGGCGGGCATGCGAAAACACAGCCTTAGAGCCTATCGGGAGTCCGAACAGGTGTTCCGGAGGCGAGGATGGAGCTTTGCCGAAGATCATATTCTTTATATGACCGGACGTCAATGCGCCACGCTCGGGAAGCTCGATAATGCATTCCAGGCATTTCACGGTCTACTCGATAAAACAAGTCAACAGAGCGCTACGCAGCAAAGCGTATTCGTCAAAGATTACTTTGCAACAATAAAAGGTAGGCTTTGTCTTGCTTTATCTGTCTTACAGTACTGGTGTTCTGTAACGCAAAGTACTAAATAAATCAAGCTGCTTGCCTTAAACTGAAACCGTCATTTACATAAAATTATTGAGGAACAAGCATGGCGAATCAACATAAAAAGAGAATTCTTGCGACGGGTGAAATGATCGTCTTAGGATGGCCAGCATCCTAGTCCTAAAGAACGCATGGTCCTTTCTTTTAGAACGACAAGTGTGCTTTTAATTGCGTGGCGTTTTTTTCGTAATTCAGCATTAGACTTGCGAGAATATGAGATGCCGATCCCGAAAATCGATATGACTTCGGTGAGGACGATCTTGGGCCACAAGCCACAAGCGATGGAGAACTCACATGGGCGGGAGCGGTATGCAAATTGTGAAGACTGGCAGAAATTGGAAGAATGTTGCTATTTACGAGCCACCAATCAGAAGTCTGTACCACCGAATTATCGGAATACGGTTGATGTTATGGACAACTCGACGCCGAATACCAGGCCCGCCATTGTTGCACAAAATGGTTGGTAGTGGAAGCTTATATCACAATCTTCCATCGTGCGCATTAAATTGAACTATGTAGCAATTGAAAAAAATTGGACGCACTGCGAAGGCTAAGTGCGACTGGATACTTTTGACGTTAGCAGAAGTATTGTTAGTTAAACGTTTGAATGGGTCGAACAAACTTTGCCTTAATTTGTTCCATTACGTCGTTTATAACGTTGAATTACGTTATTTGCTCTTCATGATTGCAGAACCCGTCACGGTTGAGTTGGAATTGACGAACCCGCTACAGATCGGCCTTAGTCTTCAGCAAGTTCATCTTTGTTGGGAAATGGAACCCGGAGATGAAAGTTCAGGCGAACGTGTAAGCAATCACCCGTCGCTCAAACTACAAAAGGACATGCATCAGCCGCATAACTATGTCGAAACCTGTGCTCTGGAATTCGTCAGTCTCGAAGCTAAACAAACCATTGTGGTACGTTGAGTATTACTATGCAGCAATGTTCGCATGTATCGTAAACTTCAGTTTGTCATAGTACGACTTGTCGAACAGCATCGTCTGTTGCGACTCGTACAAAGCTATTTATTCGGGTGGATAATCCGACCATGTAGGCATGTACATATTTAAGAGTTGATTCTAAAATAAGTTAAGTCAGTTTGGCAACAGTAAGTTATAATTTCAATGGCTAAGAGTTTCTAACGCACAGGCCATCATTGGTAATTCAGAACGCTTGTCCGAGACGAGACTTTCGCGCTGTCCATTTCAGATAAAACTGAGCTTGATCCCCAAATGTATGGGTCGTCTGAAGATTATTGGTGTATCCTATTTGATATCACTTCTGGTCATTTCGCCGTCGCCTTCAACTAATTCATTATCGTCTGATTCGGTGATGATATCACCATTGACGCCGCTCACTCCTTTGGCTGAGAATCAGGGCTCACCGGTTTGGGGTTACCAGACGCTTACAGTCAAAGGTTATAAATTGCATGCCAAGAAAGTGAAGAACAACGAATGGTATGCCAAGGATTATAGGCTACAGCCTACCGTTGGTCCTCCTATGCCGTACTTAAAGGTAAAATCAGAGCTTTTGATCTTATCTCACCAAACTTGCTAATCATTCTGCGCTATTTTCCTCTTAAATTATATACCTTCTTGTTGTCACCAAGTGTATTAACTAACTATAGATTAATTTTTAATGTTTTTTTTCCATTTATTTATCTAAAATTAAATTAATCTGACATTATAGGCGGACTTTGATACCTTTCCGAAACAAATGTTATGTGGAGAGGTGCAGCGGTTGAATTTGCGCCTAACCAATAGGGCAGCATTTGGCCTTGTCAGACTATTAATGGCAGCGAGAAACCCCAGAGAGGTGACTTTCGGTGTCATCGGCTTAAAGGCACTACCACCAAATAACAGCACATATAAGGAAATGCCAGCTAACAGTGGTGAGCTAGATGTAATTATTCAGCTTCTAATAATTATAATAATAATAACATGTTAACTGAGAGCCACAGTTGTTGCTTGCAAATTCAGATACCTTTTCATATCCACACATACAGCTTTAGGCCTCATACTACGGCAGAATCAAGTTTTGACCTGAATGTATCTTTTGAAGTACTAATCTAATACCTAAGTTTCTATGTTGATTAATTTTAGGCGATTTAGCGTGTAACAGTGCATCATTATGTGAGGTGGTGAAAACGCATTATGTAATGTCAATTCCTGGCGTAGACTCAATAGAGGCTGGGACCACAGTTAGCGTTCCTTTCTGGATCCGGGGGCCAGATGTACCCGGAGAGCACCAACTTGCACTGCTATTCTACTATGAAGCAGTTGGGTCGTGTCAGGGCGGTGCGAAGATTCAGTAAGTTTGAATTTCGAATAGGATTCTAACAAGTGGATCACAGCTTCATTTAACGAACATGTCTGTATTAGCTTGTTCAGTGAGACCGCCAATTATTTGTCAACAATGTCGATTGTTCATTTTGTCTCAATAAAATTTTATAAAAATCTTAATAATATTTTTAAAGTAATTGTCAAAGTAGTAGTTTTATAGTGGCAGTTGTCGCTTCCGTTCTTATCCATATGTTTTCTATGAATACTGTCGAAGTAATTATTTTTCCTATGATTATCTCTTGTAATGTCTGTCTGTTTTAGAATATCTTAATTGTGCAATTCAATCGCTTAATGAAAGCTAATCAAAGTTACTTTTGAGATTCGACTTGCCGTTATTGATTGATTTTCATAAGGCATCGGGTGACCAAGTTCAGTGCCAAAATTTCGACGATTTCTTCGCTCATCGTGCATGCCAGTGCCGAACCAAGCATTAAGGCAGACGATATCGGTTCGATATTACTTTCGGTGCACGCGAAAAACTCTAGTGAGGTAAAATTTTAATAAAACAGCTTGTATTTATGGATAAATTTGCGTCGGCCTTACCGTGAGATATTTATTTAGACTATGTGCGTTCATCCCCTTGCCATTCAAATTCATGACCCGTTATCTGTTTTGATGAAGCATATCGCCTACTTTATTTTAGGTTGGCTGATTTCTGTTTTTGATCTGTGTGTGTGTGTATGTATGTTGCAGTTGCAAGGCTCGGATTCGGTTGACCTGTCATTGCTACAGGTGTCTCTTATGTCGGAGATGCATTCAATCGCTAAACAGATGGATGTGCCTCCGCGCACTCCGTCCCATTCAGTGTCCGTGACGACGATTCGACCCAGGGAAGTGAAAGATATCGCGCTAAAACTTTCGAATAACAAACTCGAAATAGTAGATAATCAAAGTGGCGAGTCTCATATGGATGGACGACTAAAAGGCTCAGACAATGAGGAAGACACAAAAGACAGCGGTCTATTTAGTGAACGAACAAAACAGCAAAAGCCGATGAAAAAGATGATCAGTCAATGGCCTCTGTCGATAGTGAGGGTAGAAAGCAGCGGTACTCCTTGTGCAGACTTCATGATGGCCAGAGCCTCTAAACTGGGTGAGCTGAAGGACGAAAATGTTCCCCTAACTAACAAAGAGTTCCTTGATATGGAAGTGGCTAAGCTAAAAGGAATGAAAGCTAAAGAGCGGGATCCGCTTGATGTAACCGTAGCCATTATATGGAAAGCTGCTGTTGAACGAGATGGACTTATGAAGGTCGTTATGGGTCAACACCAGGTACGAATAATATGCATACCGTAGAATGGTCACACGCGTTAATGCTGGCACACATTTAAAACTGCTTCACAAAAAACATTTTCACATTTCCATTTCAAAATTCATTTCAACATTTCATTTCAAAACATTTTCACGAATATCTCATAATATGGAAAATTTAAGACATATATACACAGGGTTGTTGAAGCATCTGCTAAAATAGAGAATAGGGAAAAAGTGGCAGAAAATATACGAATTATTGTAACAAAAAGCGAATTAAATTGCACAACAAATTTTTAACGGGGGACTTACAAAATCTTTAAGCGTACTACTGGATATTCTAAACTTTGTCAATAATGTAACGGTTTGAATGACCGTAGTCATTGTTGCAGTTGTCGTATTTTAAGGCTATACTAGTGCTAAAAGATTATAGCAGAGTATAATAGCAATGTCTTTGGAATAAGTGTTGCACGGTTAAATCTGGTCTTCACTAAAATTATTTTAACTAATTTTAATAATTGCTTTTGTTATTTGCATAGCTGTAAACTGTATATAAATATACAAACATCTATATTTTCATGCTTGTTTATAAAACTTAACTCTCTCTCTTTAAAACACTCAATTCTGTATTAAAGCGTCAAACATATATGAAAAATGTCGTTTGAGACATTTTGATAGATTTTCGATTCTTTTGAATCTAAACCCTATTAAGGACCTTCCGGCGTCCTCCATATAGTCTCCTCGGATTCTTCAAAGGCCGCGCGAGAACATGTAATAATGTAAACCGTCTACTTTGGCCAAAAAGAAAGTTTTTAATTTTTGTGGGGGCTCGTTCAGCGCAGAAAGATTAGATAATTCCTAATCATCACTTGAGTTCCAAAAACAACACGCTGTCGTCTGCCATGATGTGTTATTTACTTTCTTCTAGAGATAATTGCCTTTCGCTCGTTACTAGGAATAGCAAATAAACATACACCTGTTATGATAAACAGCCCGCCTTAATTTTTATTTGTATATGCACATATATAGATCTGGGCTATTGAGTACATTGTGTAGAGGAAAATTTAGGCTGCTGAAAATTTAGATCCTCGTCAGTAATGTAATAAACTTCCCTACAGGTCCTACTGCTGCTGCAATCCGCCATTTAATGCCAGAAGAGCCATATGATTCCGATATTATTGTTATTTATCTGTCTTGGATGCTTCGTATCGATGAGCTGCATGGTTTTATAGCTATCTGATTACATCTGTGGTACATAGTTTGACTTGTTAAAACTAACTTTGCTCAAAATAAATTAGGTGAATATACGCGATTTGCACGTGACTTACACATCAATTCCCCATACGCTTCACGGCTCTGGCGTGGGCCTAATGAAAAAAACTTCCGTTCCACCCATTGGAGGTCCGCTACTGCCTCTTGGCGGGCACGCGGCTCTGGCCGGGCTTGGAGAAGCATCGCGGCTCATCCAAGTCAGCCTTCTGCATGAGCATTACGTGCAGCATGACTTCAGCAAGCAACAGTGAGTTAATTGAATCAGTTATCATATTACCTAAATGAACTCATTATAATGAACCTGCGAACCATTGTACATACATGATCTTGCCCGTGTACGCTCATTTCATATAGATAGATGTACATCATTCTAACTCAAATCCAAATATGTAATTCGATGACTCTTTCCACCGCCTTAGTACTTGATCCTAAGAATCGTCGACGATTATTGAACGAGTGTAGCGCTGCTTGTGTTGTCTGTCTATGATAGGTTCCTTGCCCTTGACGTAACACTGATATTACATAACCCGTCCGTGGTATTGCCACTTACGGTGACCGTGGCTTGCATGAACTCACTTGCACCTGCCTCGGCGGCTTCTGGATCAGCAAGCGGGCCTCCATTGGCATTTGAATGCCCACCGACGACTCACGAGCAAATGGTCACCGATGATATTGGCGGTTTCGTATGGACTCGACAAGTTCGATATCTACGAACGCTCCCGCCAGCTCACGTTGAACGGCTTCCTCTGCAAGCTGTATGTACGGTAACTTTGATATAATGTTAAAATTAAAAGAAAGACGTAATGATAAGGCGACAAGCATATTTCTCTGTAGAGACACCTCAAACGAAATGTAAAATATCGCGCCAAGCATTCGACGATTTACTTGTAGACTAACAGAGTTTTGTGCTTCCAATGTTTTGACCTCGAAAAACGTGGAATAAATGTGTTTCTTTTGTATAAATATAATTCCTTCGTTACAGCTGTTTCTTTCGACGGGAACCTACAACCTCTCGTCCGGTGTACAGGTGTCTATTCAATGCGGCGATTTGACCAAGTCCGTCTCACCATGCCAGAGCCTCATTATTGTCGACAAATCCACGTGTAAAAGCTCTATCACAACTTTCCACTAATAACTATCAATACGCGTTTTGAAACACTTTTTGTTGGATCCGTAAAAGTTTTTGAAAAAAGGAAAAGGTGTGACTGAATCAAGACACGCCCTTAGTAAATGTTTAAGGGTTAGAGGGATTCGAAAGAGATCGTACAGGTAAAGTCTCGTTACCTCGTCTATTTCTGATTAGCCTTAGTGTCGCTGTTAGATATGTAGAATTAGGTAAAATAAATACAGTAGTATTATAACAGTAATCGCAAGTATACCTTGGGGTAAGCTCTCTAATCAAGCGTGAATGTAAAATAGCGGGAACAAAAATGCTCTTTTCGAAGAAAGAAGTTCTTGAGTATCTTTTCCATTCACCCATTGAACGTACTGCTAAGTTCGGCGAGATGGCCGATATCAGCGAGAACGCTTGTAGGGCCGGACTTCAGGGATTACCAGGCTGGTCCTGGAACAGAAAGGTACTGTTTAGGAGGGAAAAATTCCCACGAGCCAAGTTTAGTAAAACTAGCGAACTGTCAGTAACTGATAAACGCAAGATAAAAATGATATGTTAGTGGCCTTAGCGCCGACAGCAGCGGGGCCCGCTAATATCATTAACAAGCCGTGTAAACTTAATACATAACGGAAATACATGTCGTCGTTTTCAACAACCTATGCGAACAATGTATTACACTATACACACCTGCATTTCATAAAGTTAATATTTCAACAGAGGAAACAGAGTGAAAATGCTGGGATTCTGAATTCATTGATTACCAACAAGCAAGGAGATGACGCATGCTGCTAATAACAATTTGCGATTGGAACGATTTCTGTATCTGGTAAGCATAGAAAAGTGTTGGTCTTTTAAAATAATATGGAAAAATACGTGTGTGATCAACGTAGGTGATAATCAGATGCACGGTGAACAACTATAAGTTAAAACCTTATTTCTCCTCCAAACCGTTACAATATTTTCTATGTATTTATATCATCAGACATATATCAAAATTGAATGTGTTAAACCCACCACTGTGTGTAAATGACTTCCTGTTCACTCCAGATGGGGCGGGGGTACATGATACATCATAAATTGATAAAACAGAAAAAGCTCTTTTACGTGCTTCTTATTTATTAAGTTTCTGTAATACTACTTAGCATGTACTAGAAATTTGAATGATTAGAACTATTATGTTTGTGAACCAAGTTAAGCAATGTTGTGCATTTATGTAGCTTCGACATATATAT